CGTGGTCAACACAAGTAGTGTTTTAGTGTTTATTCATCTTCTCCTAATCAAATTACATAACCAGGAGTGATACGGGAGTTTTGGGACACACTATATGGGTTGGATTAAATGGTTTATACTGTTTATAGTATTAAGTACTGTTACATTTGTACATAAAGATGCTAATTAAATTTATCAAATTAAAGATTTTATTCCCGGGCTTTTTCTTCCGAATAACATGCAGTGTGCACCGTCCGTAAGCCACTGATACTTTATGCAGGGCCACAAAGTTCTAATCTCTAATTAATGACTCATGTTAAAAATATATTATTCAATTTTATTATTAGAACATCAAATATTCGTTATTGATTTGGAAATGATACCAAATACCAATGTTAATAATTTATATTTATTTACTAATACACTATTATAATTGTTTTCCTATTATATAGACAGGGCCATCCTATCAAAATTAAGAGGTAGATATAAATATAGATTTTCGTATTTTCATGTAATACCATAAGAAGTCGTGGTACTTCCATGTGTTGTTTCCGTCTTACAAAATAATTAACAACACAGAAAAACTGTTTTGACAACTTTACCAACGAATTTTAAATTGCATTGAGAACATCCTTATCTGTGTCGTAGCGATTTTATTATTTCGAAAACATGAATACAACTAAAACTTTTGGTTTGAGAACATTAAGTTTTTTTTGTTTTAGATTCTGTCATTCTGAGCGGAGCGATGCATGTATAATATGTACCTATTGATTTTATAATAATGTGTGTTTTCTAAAATTCTATTTTTTTGAGGGCAGTAAAATAGCTTCGTTTTCTTCAACAGCATATTAAATATAAATATAATCAAATTTTAATTGGCAGAAAAGTGAATCTAGGCTGTACTTTAGGGAGTCAATAGTACAAAACGTCCAATAGTTCTCAAAAGCTGCAGGGAAAAATTAGGGAAAAGCTCAGATTTCTATACTAAAACAGTTTTAAAAAAAAATCATTTTGTTTTATATTGTAACTCTAAAAAAAACCCTGTATATAAATTAAATTGTCACTAAATGTTTATGTTATATCATTTTATATGCACCATAACATTTTTGAAATAATGCGACTCTTTTTGAGCTATTTATAGGCATGAGAAAATGTCTATTTTCTTTTAATTTTTATCGATAAAATCGTATTTATTTGTTCAAAAAGTTTGTAAATTTAATACAAGACTACTAATATATTGATGCAATGGCTGTAGAAAAATTAAAAAAATTAAAAATGCGAAAATGCATAATTTTTCACAAGTAGTATATGTTTTATGAAAAAATAAAAAAATTGTATGGGCTCCATAGTATTGTTTGTAGGTCTATGATCTTTATTGACAGATAGTAGATACTCGACATACCAAAGGATGTTGCATTGTAATATTGTATAATACAACTACATTCTACACTGTGCATAGGAATTGAAGCCAACAACGGTAAGAGTAATGACGTAAAGCTCTTTATAGTTTATACTTTATAGTTGATGGAAGAAATTGAACGATAATAATTTTATTAAATGTTATCTATCGTTAGCTTCACGATTTTGCATCAAAATATATCTTAGTCCGTGATCAATGCCACTTCCATGTGTTTAATATCAACGTTTTTACCCATTTGCAAATTTGAGATTGTGATAAGAAATTCTCAGCTTTAACTCCATATCATTTTTGTTGCCGGCGCTACAAATTCAGTGAACAGTGTTATCAATTATCATTTAATATTTGCTATCTAGTATCTACCTCTTGGCTCGACTTAAGTTAAAACCGTGTATAATTTTGCTATAATTTGTCATTAATAAAAATTATAAAATACCTAATTATATATAAAATTTGTATGAAAAGAAATTTGAATAACAGTATGTCTTTTTCGGTAACATGTTTGCTAAAAAAACAAAATCAATTACTTGCTGTTATGAGTGTAAGGCACAGAAGTCAACGTAGAAATTTAGGGAAACCTCCTGGTATTGCAAAAACACTAGAAGAGAGATTGGAAGGTATTATTCTTATACTAAAGTTGTGCATCATTAATTATTAAAATAACTTTTATATTTAGAAATGAACTTCAAAGATCCAAAAATTCACTTTAAAGTTGATATTGGATTACCTACACCACAGAGAGACAAAAAATTAGAAACATCCAAGAGAATTGAGTTTATAAAAAAAATAAAATGCAATGCTGAACTTGAAAAATTGTCCAGAAATAACGAGTGTATGTATAATATGGTGACATTTCCAGGTGTATTAAGTATATTTATAGATTATAGAGACTTAAAAATACTTGAATCAATATTCCAACGGTTTTTGGTTTTTTTTTAATAAAATTTATTTTATATGCTGATTTCAAAATAAAAATTGTGTAGGAAAACAATAGGTTAGGTAACTTATTCAATAACATACTGTTTGTGCACTAGGTATGACAGTTTAAAGTTTGTAATATTTCTTTGCTAAGTTTAAAGTTGTCATAAACTATCCTTGAAATAGGCTTGATGCTTATATCTAATTGTTGTGATTGAAATCACAATGAATTGGAAAAAAAATTGATAAACTATGAAATTGTTTAAAATAATTTAGTTGAAAAGAAATAAAGGGTTCAAATTGCAATTAACTGAATTAATTATGATGTTAAATAATTGTCAAGTTTATAGTTTTCTTTCATAGATTTAAAAACAACAAATAAGCACTTAGCCAATACATATTGGCTAAAAATTAACTTTTATGTGTAATTTAAAAAAAGCATGTTTTTAATTCATTTCATTCTTTGAACCAATACCCATGTTTAAGTACATAAATTAAATAGTTTTATGTATGAAAATTCTGAAAGTAAATTTACAAATGTACAAGCTAGTCACCCAATTAACTGCTCAATTCCTAATCAACCCATCCCTCAAACACAGACTTACACACACGTAATGTTTAACGCTCCATCCGATAGCACAATACTTTACCCTCCTGATATTAATAAGATAATGTCAAGGTTCGTAGATGACATTAAGTCTCTCATAAATCCATTAATTTCCCTTCTCACTAAAGTAATTTTCTGCTTACTTGATAAAAATGCCGAATACCAATCATAACAATAACTCTGTCACAGACAACTCTACTTATATAAAAAAGTTAACATTTAAGTGTCATCATTGGGTGGCTTCTTAAATCATTGTATTCTCTTTTGTAAACTCATGTTATATGTCTTTTAACCTAAATACTTATTATGTCTTATGATATAGATTGTGTATTTCGACCTAGTATAAAAAAAGTACATAAATTAAAAATTTAGAAATTATTTTAAGAATGCTTAATATTATTATATTTAATTAAACGCATGTGTGATGATTAATTGTATTTAGTACCTGTATCATTGGATGAAATATCTAATGATTGGTCAAAAACAAATGCTCCGTTACATATAAAAAAAGTAGCAGAATATTATGGTATTTTTGAACATTTATTTGGAGATGCCTATTTCACGCCTTACATTCAAATGGATATTAGTTATGAATGCAACTCAAATAAAGTACCTGTTTATCGAGGAAATATTATCAAACCGAATGAGGTATTTATCATGTTTTAAAATTTTGTTTGAATGTGTTAACAATAATTTTGTTGTAATAGGCTGTGTATAGTCCGGAAGTACATTTTGAAGCCCCCGAAAAGACACTATGGACATTAATGCTTACAAATCCAGATGGACATTTACATAAAGAAAATTCTGAATACATCCATTGGCTAGTGTATGTATTTTACATAAGTTCTGTTATAGTTTAGAATCACCAATCATTTTTATATTCTATAAATATAATTATGTTTATAGGGGAAATATACCAGATGGAGATGTTAATAGAGGTGAAACAGTGTTTAATTATTTACAACCATTTCCGGCAAAAGGAACTGGATACCAAAGAATGATTTTTATTCTTTACAAACAATCCACAGAAATTAATTTTTCTTCAATTAAATCAGTTAGCAAAAAGTAAGTTAAGTTTTTAATTCTTGTATCATGCGTTCTTATTGTGTCCAAAGGCATAGTTTGTACATTTCTAAAACGAATAAAACAGTTATAATATTAATCAACTATACATGCTAATATTAAGTGGGTGGGCAAAAATAATTACTTGAAGCCTCGTGCCGCCTTATTAAAACATATAATGTAGTACACATTTTATATTTGTTTGACCTTGATAGAATATATTCTGTTCGAGCTGTAACAGTGTAAAATACATTAATTTGTTATACTATTAGTAATAATATACATTCAAAAAAGACAGTTACTTATAGTAATTTATTTTTAGAATAGATTTGGCAGAAAGAACATTTAGCACTTTTGATTTTTATCGTTCTCATGAAGATATTATGACACCAGCTGGATTAGCATTTTATCAAACTGATTGGGATAATTCATTGACAAAGTTTTATCATGATCAATTATCTATGCAAGAACCAGTTTATGAATATGATTTTCAACCTCCATATATTAAACCACAAAAATGGTTCCCTCTCAAAGAACCATTCAATTTGTAAGTTTATAATAATTTATTACTTTTAAATGTCTTAAAATAATTTTATTTTAGGTACATGGATAAGTATCGCGATGAAAAACAAATAGCTAAAGAATTTTTATTAAGGAAACTGAGAAAAACACATCCGTTCCAAAAACCTGAACCCCCTCTTAAGTATCCAAATGCAGTGCCATTCAAGAAAACTACTCCGTCTTGGTTAAAACTTGAGATGAAAAAAGAACGTTTAAGATGGGGACGAGTGAATGATTACTAACAATTTTCAAATGATTTACTTACAGTTTAAATATTAACATATTTGTTCATTATAAAAAATAATAAACTTGAATGTCATTTTTTAATAAATATTCTTGTTTATTTTACCAAATTGTATTAGTTTGCCATTATGATTTTAACCTTTTATTATTGTTTCTGCTTAGAGAACATTACTAGTGTGTTTGCTTACTTTCTCTGGTCCATGCTCAACATAAAATACAAAAATGCTTTCACATAAGTCTTTTTTTATGCTCTAGGATAATCTTAAAATCTAAATTTCACAATACAAGTTTTTTTAGAGAGTATGACGTCATAACAATTTCCCTTAATATTAACTCAAAGCTATTTAACATCACATAAAGAAAAAATAATAAAATACAAAACCAATATTATGTCAAATCCTTAAAAATTGCATCCTCTATAATTTGTGTAAATAAGTTTGATGAAACACTAATAAAACAATAAAAAATATAAATTAATAAATATATATTTATAAATTTATAAGAAGAAAAATATTGATTAGAAGTTAGTTTGTACTCTGTTAAACTTTTAATTGTATATTTCGGTTCGAATTTAGATATTATTTCTGTCTAGTTCCTCAATAATTCACTAAGAACTTAGCCAAAAAGATGAAAGATCATATTGTACTGGTTTACAAATTAAAATACTCATGATTAAATTATTTGTATAATTATAAAATATCCATCCATCAACTTAATTATAAGACATAAACATTTATAAATAAATACAACTTATTAGTTATTTCAAAACTACGTTATATCTATTTTGCAAAAAATTTGAAATAGAAAGAGCAATATTTATTGATTGCTTATAACAATATCATAGTAGCATAAGTATATAAAATAATTTAAATTTAACTCATGTAACTTAAAAATAGTCAGAATATTCAGTTATTGTTGAATGAAATGTAGTCAAAACTATCACTCATGCAGACATAGTTAAATTATATAAAAAAAAAAACCTAAACAGCAATAAAAATATATTTTAAAATTAAAATGATGTACATTATTTACTTTTAAATGTTAGAGGGAAATTAGGTTAGTGAACAAATTAATTTTTTTAAGATCAATTATTTTCTACAGTATTTGCATTAATAAACATCATTTTATCTACTAGTTCTTGATTTATTTGTGATCTTTTTATATAATACAGTGTTTGTAGCTCAAGTGGAAGTTTACTAGATGATCCACTAAGAGCATACACAAAGTGTTTTCTTGCCAGCCTTATTAGATTTTGACATTTTGATGACATTCGAGACCACCATAAAAGTGGACACTCTTCAAGACAAGGAGTTGGTTCAGATTCATACTGAGCAATTTCTAAATTAAGTCGATCTTCAAGTGACATATTATGTTTATTGACAATGGGAGAACTTTTTACATTAGCAACACTTCCAAGTAAAAATCCAATACCTAAACCATAATTTGAATTAATTGCAAATATATTCTGGTTATTTTTACAATATATTTCTGTATTATTCTACAATTTACAAATTTTTATATTAATATTGAAATACTAACCTGATACTCTAGGTTTTTTAGGTACATTAGTGTCAACTTCTGTCACATTCGATTTAGTATCATAAGTCACAGAACCTTCAATTTCAACCATTTTTACAAGTTCCTGTTTAATTGTTGGAAGATGTTCTTCACCTTCAGTCATAGGAAAATCTTTGAATCTCGGATCTAATAATGTTGCTATGTGTAAAAATGTTTGTACATCAATATTATTGTACCTAAAATTTTTAATTAATAATGAGCAAATCAATAAAAAAATATTATTGATGTATCATATTCTTACTTCCAGTGAAGTTCATTGGCAAATGTATTCTTTAAACCAGCAGCAAGATTTGAATCACTGGGTTTAACTTTCAAATGATAGCTGGTTAGTTGATTAATCAAAGGTTTCAATAATGATATCAATGGTATCTTTTCTTCACTAAGAGTAGTAACAGTGACTTTTAAAGGCTCGAGAGTTGTAACAATATCTTCAATAACTGACCAATCTTTATCAGTTAATAACTCATGGGGAAAAAATCCAATATCCAATGTGTTGCATAAAGTTTTTATGGTTTCTTTTCGTTGAACAAAACGTTCTAAATAGTGATATGTGGTTGTCCAAATTTGTGGGTACTCTCGACTGAGAAATGAATTAAATACTTGAACAACATTATCCTGAACTGTTACAGATGTCAAAGCATTATGGTGATGTAATTTAGCAGAAACTGTTCTACATTTTGTTAAAACATTTAATACTTCTGCAGTTTCAAAACAATTTTTGGTACATAAATTCTAGAAAAATAAATAAAAAATAAATAAATGAAAATATTCTGAATTTCAAATTCAAAGTATACACACTTGTAATTCATAAATTAGGCAAGGTATCAGAACGAAACCTTGAGTTCGTAATGCTGCATCTAAATTATCGTTTGAAAATGCTTTGATGACTGTTTTTACTTGTTCAATATTAATACTCCAATTTAAAAACAAGGATCCCAAAATTCCACACCATTCATTAGCAGTTCTATTAGGATTACATAAAATTGTGGCTAGTTGCTTAATACTCAGACCTTCGTTATCCAACTAGACATTTAAAAAAATTTTTATTAGATTATTTTAAAGTTATTTTAAACTCAAATCAATAATATTACCTGTTGAAAAAATACGCTTATTGTAATATAAATATTTAAGCTAGAACATTTCCATTCTTCTATACCTAAAGCAAAAGTGCTACAACTGTTTGCAATGCTATTAAGAACAGCAGATCTGGTAGATTCATAAATTCTTGGTATTATGCACTGTTCTAATTTATATTTTCCTGGAATTTCACATGGGGACCTCAATGTAGCAATAAGACGTTGAAAGCCTCTGCCTTCTACAATATCTGGTAAATGGAGATCAGTTATAACAAAATCAGTAATAGCATCCGATACAACATCATTCGACTAAAAAACAAAGATAAATATTTATAATTTATATTTAATTAGTCGGTGAACAAATAATATTCATAAATGAGACATAATTTCAAGGCTTATCATAAAATAATTGAATTACTATTTAAAAAACATTGAAAACAAATTATTACTCACTGAATTATCAATTTCTTGAAAAATAACTGACATCTGAGGAGTTTGTTCTTGGATATTGGCAACGTGTTCCCCCACAAATTGTTCATTAATTTCCCCTTGTATATACACATCCTGATGTTTTATCCTGCAGCTTGACCTATTAACATCCACTTGGCCTTCAGATGTAGCTAATAACATTAGTTCATTTTTGCCATGTCTTTTTTTTGGACTTCCATCTTTTGATGATCCCATTTCCAGTACCACTAATTCAGTCTTATGCCTGCTTTGTAAGTGTACTCTTAAGTTGGTAGTATTACTTTTGTAAGCAAACTGCTTTTTACAAAGTATGCATATAATTCGATCTTGGGTAATTATATTGCCATTCTCTGAGGCAGGAAAACCAAAATATTTCCAGTAAGGACTATGCATACGCTTTGGTACAACTAATTTTTGATAACTGACAGTTTCAACGTTAGAACGGTCCGGCACTATTTTAGTATAAGGACGTTTGTTTTTTTTTTTTTTGCCATCTGTAAATTCAACAAACATGTTTAAAAGTCACAAGAAATTATTTAATAAATTTTAAAATAATTTCTGCTTTTTAATCAAATTTAAAGACGTTTTCTACAAATTTCAAATAAATCCGCAGCTTACTGTTTGATGTCCCGGACTGGATTTGTGATGTCGATTGCAAAAATGGATTTAATTCAATTGATATTTTATTACTCCGATTCATAATGTATTTGTACTTGAAATTTGCCTCCAAAATTCGGATATTTCACATTTAATGTTGACTATCGATAATGCGATAATTATATTGCTTTTATCGAAATCAATTTTCGGATAGGGCCGATAGGGGTATAGACTATAGGACAACAAATAACAAAAGAAGAAATAAACACAACACAGAAAATCAAAACCCGTATAAAAAACATCGATCGATGTTCCAAGTTTGTTAGGGAGATAATATCGTTTCGACACTTCTCAGAGTGCTAAAAACGGTGTTCCAGTGTAGCCACATGTTGAGTATGAATAGTACCCAACACGGTCTTAGATTATTATACCCAGTGACAAAATATGCATAGACGATAGACTTATACTACTTAACCTTACTAACGTAAGTTCTAACCTTAGATCATATACGATCATATTTAATATATATATAATTATCATATATGATCTAAGGTTCTAACCCTAATACAACACTATACACAGATCTATAAAAATCTACAGTTAATTTTTACGTGTTTTACTAACATTAAAAAAGTAAGATATAGATAAATGTTGATTTCACCAACATTTGGAACATACATATATCAACATTTTCAAAAGAAAAAATAACAAAAAAAATAATTTAGGAAGTAAACTGCATATTTTGTTCTTAGAGTTAAAAATTAAAATGCTCGTACTGCTACATAGTATTTTTTGAAAAATCATCTTTACAGACTTCAGCTCTTCTGGCGGATAATGCTGTCAAATTACGACCACAGTCATATAAAAATGCTAGATAGTTATATAAATAGTACCTTATTGGCTATTCCTATTTCCTAGTATTTCCTACTACATTAAAATTATGAAGCTGACAAAATGGCCGAAATTCTCTAATCAAAGAGGTGAATGTTTACAACACGGTCTTAGTAGATCTTCTAAGACCGTGATTTACATTTATATTATAACAAAATGATAAACAGTTATAACGTTATGGCGGGAAACCAAAATACAATTTTTAAATTTATCATGATACTAGGTAATAATGATTATTTATATCGTTTTAATTTTTCAAAATTATTTTGTATTAAACATCCGTATTCCGTATATTTATTACCTACGCATATTTATAAATATATTAAAGTTGATTGGTTGTTTGGATATTTGTATTTGTTTATCTATACTTAAATTTTCAAAAAATATTTACTTCATTATTTATTTTGAACAATCTAAAAAAATAGGAATATAGTATTTCAAAAAAAAAAAAATGTTTATAAAATTTAAATTAACGCAATTATTTCTTACACATGTATTAGCCAATAGATTTATTCAAACAAATTTTTATAAATGTAATATTCGAATGAAAAATTGATAGTTATTAAAGCAGGAAGTACTACCTATGTTACTAAATTTATAATATGTGTGACTTAAGTCAAAATCTTAAACATATAATGTACTCGATAAAAGATAAAATAATCTAAAAGAACTTTTCGAGTTTATTTTGAAGAAAAATCATATTTCTGTGATAATATTGAGAACTGAGGAAAATGAGAAGTACGAAAACATGTTCTGGTAAGAATAATTACAATTTAACAGGGCAGCGTTCAAGAACAGTGCTCACACTACCACCCCGAGCACGACTATAACCTGCTATAACCATACTTCACCATAGACCAAAACTAGTTTTCATATCGCGAAAGGGCCACCGCCGTTTATAAATAGTCGCCAAGAAAACAAACAATATGTTCATGGCAGAATTAGTTCTATTATTTTCATAATAATCATAATATCGAACTTTATACTTTGTATATTATTATTCTATAAATAGTATTTTACACAAATTAAAAATATACAAACAATGTGAATAATTATTTTTTTTAATGTTGACCGACCAAACATGAAATTTAAATCTGTAAATCAAAAAAACCTGGTGGTTACGAATTAATTAAAATCTGTTTATTATCACGTGATAAAGGTAGGTATAGATACAAGGTAATTTAATAATTTTCAAAATTCTAACTTCAGAAGCTCATACAAAATTAGTGTAGAATATTACGTACTTTTTTTTTTTTAAATTTCTAATTATGAGGAAACCTTATGATAAGTTTTTATTAATAATAGATAAGTATTTTAGCTGAAGGAAAATTTTATCTACTTTTATAATAAAAAAACTAATTAAATTTGAAATTTGATTTTGTATAGAAAATTCTAATATTGATATTCGGTGGAAATTTCAAGTATCTATTGTGATTAAGTTTTTGAGGTACACCAAACAAACAAAATCGATTTTATCGAAAACTGTTTTCAAGTAAAAATTCAAAACGCTTTCAAAGCTTTTGAAAACTTCTGGGAATTTTAAACTTTGATCTACCGAACTACCAACTAAGTTCACTTCCTTATCCGAAAAGATACGGAAGTTGAAATTCAAAGCATAATTTCGAATTTCTACCTTTTTCGTACACACCAAAAAAAATATTTATTCTATACTAAGTAGTGATCGTAAGACAGAGTTTACATAGGACGTTACTCGAAATTTTCCACGTCGAAAAAAAATTTTAAACTTATAAATCTAAAATATGTATTAATAGGTAAACACATTATTCGAGTTAACTCATTAATTATATATAACCTAGAGGAAATAAGGTAATTTTAACATTTTATTGGTTTCGTGGTGAATAGTGATGATAACAATTAAAAAAGCGATAGAAAAATGAAAAATTTGCTGGTACCTAACACACACAAAAATTATTGTAAAATCAATTCGCTCAGAATCTAAAATTAAAATCAACTATACTTAGTTCAGCGAGAGAACGCACCGCGGACCGGCCAAATCTAGTTTTCCCCACGCGACACCCTACCATGGTGAACAGGTTTTATGAGCGTGGTGAGGGAGGAATGCTCCAAACTTGCGCGATTTCTCGCTGGACAGAGTATACACTTTTAACTTTTCGATAATTCTTCCGGCCCCAAACTAACTAATTATTTGTAATTCTATCCAATTCGTCAAATAAACAAAAATAAGAGAAATTTCATTTTGAAGTTTGCATATGTCTCTGAACTTGAAATTATTAACAATGGTCTACTTTTAAGATTTAATTCTATTTTCTATCTTCTATGAGATGAGTCCAGGGGCGCAATTTCAATGAAAAAAGTGGGGGTGCTGAAGCCCCAATATTATTTTTCATATTATCTTATGGTTATGGATGCCTAATGACTATTAAAATGAAAATAAATATGAAAAATATTGAGGGTGCTAAGCAACCCCCAAGCACCAGCCAAATTGCACCTATATCATCTCAGATGACAGAAGGTCAACTAAAAATAAATACTATAAGATCATTTTAGATTCTGAGCGGAGCGATAGGTACCTACCTAACATTCTCACAAGGATTGTAAAAATGTACAATGATGTGTTGTTTTATTTTTTTGTACCTATGAGTACAAGTGTAGCAGTATAGGTTAGGTTAGTATAGACGTTTAGTACTATAGGTACGTCTATACATAGTTGAGACAATGCTTCGATTTTCAACTGACATCAGTGACTTTTCTGGTAGTGAAGTGAATCTAGTTGATGCATTGGAAAAATCAAAATTGACATTTCCGAGTTTTCAAAAGCATCAGGAAAAATGAACAAAATATAAAATCAGTTTTTCACAAAATCTATTTTTTTTGGTTTTTGGTATAACTAAAAATAAGACAACCGTATAAGATACATAAAGTTTTTGATGGATATTTATATTAAGATTTTTATACCTACTTTATAACATTTTAAAAATATTTTGACTTGTTTACTTACATTTTCAGTTTTTTTTCTGTCAATGGCAATACAATTTTATTCATTAGGTCAAAAAACTTGAAAATTGAATATAAGGTTCCCGATATATTACAGCAGCAGTTGAAAAGTATTAAAAATACATTTGCACAATTTCATTTTATGTTAAAATGTTGACAAAATTTATCAAATTAAAAATGTATAAAATGTTCAACATACTTTAAAGCTAAGGATTGAAAATCTAAAACAATGTTCCAAGTAGGTAGGTTATTCAGTAACTATGAAATGTACTCAGTTTTTTTTTGAAGTAATAATGTTCAAATAATTTGGATGCAATTATATATCATTAAATAACCAAAAACAATGATTTAAGTTATTTTGTTGTAATTTTTAAAAATATTATTCGTGGATACCCACTTGAAACTTTTTGGGTATATTATTATAATTTATACATAGTACACACAATGACTTTTGGAATGTAATTTTTAGCAAATGTGGAATTTAACCTAATGTAGTACTAATAAATAATAATCATTAGTAAAATAAATTACTCGAACCACAATAATATCATCAAATATATTGTATAATATAAATAATATATGGCCTCAAAAACTCTTCCAGACAACCCCACAAGACGTCTCAAACGCAGCTGGTGCAGAGACCTGCTTAACCATTAAAATACATTTAAGAAAACTAAAAATTAATTAATTAATTTTTTTTTTTTTTTTTATAACTCTTTGTCTAAGGTGACTCGACTGCGAGTCTTCCTTCATGTCACTCAAAGTCTTTATATTACTTATATCATATTTACTTATTTTATATAATGTACAGATTGTGAATTCTCAATAAACGTTATAATTTTAAAAAAAAAAAATATATTAAATTACTAAGTTATATTATAGGCCGACAGACGGTTCCGCTCAGAATCGTTTTTTGGAAACAATGATTGTACATCATAAAATACAAATTTAACACTATCCATTACGGTGACCCACTTGTAAGTAGTAACCTACTTTACAGCAGAGCAAAATCCACTCAGCACTTACCCATTTCTTTTTACTGTGTATAAACCACGTAAAATATATTATCTACATCGTGACCCGTATTTTATTAGTCTTACCTCAGTGTTTGATAGCCATCGACTATCGCCTAAATCCCAGACAAAAGCTCCTATAGATGGCGCGTGGAGTACAGGAAATCGTAATATACTTATTTATTTTAGCAATAGCATATTTAATTGATATTATACAGTTACGTGATTTCAATATTCAACTTAAATTGTGCTTAAAACATTGCTTGAATGATATGAAATATGATTTGTGGGTTTGTGTCATCGCCATTAATATTTAGTTTCCCACAACGTTTCCTTGTCTACACTTAAGAATTTTTTTCAAATGTCGATAGCATTCAGAAACGTTGTTGGTTTAGTAATCAAAAAAAATTTAAGTCAAGTATCATTAAAAGAGGCTAATGCAGCACTGCAGATGAAGTTGACACTTTTAAAAAGATTATGGAACACAAGAGAACTAGAGAAGGTAACACCCGATGGGCAAAAGCCCAAAGGATATATTGAACATACTTTGTCGTTATTTTAATCAGAAAGAGGTGAATGTGGTTGCAATGTGGGTTCAAAACTTAAAATTTAAGATATGTGTAATTGCCCCATTGGCAATTATAATTATCCTAATTAATTTCAGGAAAAACTCTTAAAAAACCATTTTATATCATATTTTATTAATGAAAACATTGTATTATGATTAAAAAAATGTAAAATATAATGGTTCATTTTATATGAAACAAGTGATGAAAATTTATTTTTAATGATATATAAGCAATTTATTTTAGAATTGGTATATTGGTATCACAAAGTTAACCCTACCACTCATCTCAATTGTACATTTGAAAAACACCAATAATAACAATCATAAAATATTGTTAAATTAATAACAGTCTAAATTATTATATTATTAAAAAAATATGTACAATAGGAAAAGTTTGATAAATTAATGCACCTAGTACATAATAAATGAAATGTACAAAAGGAAAAATAAATTTAATACATATAACTTAGGTAAGTATACATCATTATTATTATTCTGAACATTATTTATAAGTCAGAACTTGGAACATTATTTATTCATAGAGCTACTCTTTGGATTTGTCTGGTCCACAAATTACGTAAGAAACAAGCAATGTTGTGCGCATATAAAATAGTGTATAGATAAACACAAATTAAGTTTTAACACTAATTTAATGATGAGAAATGGGTTAATATTTAAAAAAAAATATCATGAGTCAAGGTTAGGTTAAATCATAAGTCAATAATCATTATACAGCTGAATTTAAAAAATCTTAAAGGTTATTTTTTTTCAATTTATTAAATTTAGATTAACATAAAATTGCTCTTGTTTAATAAATATATAAATTAATTAATAAAACCATAAGTAGTTAATATCTATACACATTTTTTTGCTACATTATAATTTCCCTAAATAAAATAAAATAAATAATGTCACAAAATACTGGATTTGGCAGAAGTTCATAATTTATCTTAAATAATTTCAGCAACGCCAAAATTTGATATCAACCCTTATTAAAATATATGCAAATATTTATTTTAAAGTTGATAAATGTCTGAATAAAATTATACCCCCCCCCCCCCCCCCATTGACATCACTAATTAACTTTCAAGTTCAAAAATTAGAATGACTTAAACAATGTATTTGCATATAATTATTTGTCTTTGTTGAACAATTTTGAGATAATTATATAACTATAATTAAAATAAATAACAAATATTTTTTGTATGCAACATAAATATTGATTAAATAAATGCTATTGCTTCTGTATTATAAGATGTTTTGATAGTACACTGCCTATTATCTTGCTATTAACTAAATAAGTCAGACTTCAATGTTAAAAGAAAATACCTGTTCTCTTATTACTATCAAATTAATTTGGTTTAAATTGGTGTCTATTGTACTAAAATTGTAACCTTATTAATAATCATAATATTTAGGATATTGTATGTATAAAGAGGATGTCCCTTACATTGCAAAAATATACAAATAACTCTGATGAACGTCAAAAGGCTAAAATAAAAATGTAATACTTAATAAAAAATAATTTAAATAGATACTGGGTAGTCTTAATAGTAGTTTTACATAACATTCATATAATAATTTAATTATTACTGGATACAGAGAACAATATGTTAAATTATTTCCAAGATTTAATTTTGGTCAAATTGATCTATAATAATAAATATTTTTCTATTTGTTTTAAGAATTGGAGGCAACAAATTAATTTTAATTTTCATTGTCAATATCTATCAGTCTTAAGTTCTAGATTATAATTACAAAATTGCTTATCTTCTTTTTTTTATGTAGAATTAATAATAATAACGCTGAGATCTGATAGAAAACTGCATTAGTTGTTGGGTCCTAAAATCTAAAATAGGGAGCGGTTAGTAACAAATTTTATATTGAAAAAAATATATAATATAAAATTACAATGCAATTTTTTTTTATACCACAAATAATTTAAGCAAATTTTTACAAATGGAATATAATTGACCAAGAAAAAATAGTTTGTGTGGTTCATTTAAATTAAACCCGTTAATTCAAATTACCATAAATAAATAAATTAATAATAAACTAAAATAACTTGCATATTGTTAAACCTTAAATATTTACTTTTCTAAGCAACACAGACTTTAATTCACCAATCAAATAATTTAAATATAATACTTAGTCTGAAGAAAAATAAATGTATGTATAGAAAATTATGGCATAATTAATAACTATATTACAAAAATATGATATAAGAAATTGTATGCAATACTTTACAAAAACTAGATTGATTCATGTTCTGATATTTAATCTTAACGAAACAAATAATTTTAAATATTTTGTTTTTACTATTAAACAAAAAAAAAAAAAAACAATACAATGTGTAATTAGTTGAATTGAAAATGTTGAGGTAGATAATATTATATCTTTAGAATACAAGCCTGAAAGATGAATAATCAAACATCACTTCTAACATTTGTATCCCAGGTTAAAATATTAAACAAAACACAAACGGAAATGCAATGTAAAAAAATATTTTGTTTTGATGATTTTTATGTTTTAAATGAAAAGTACTTTTCTATCAATAAATTCTAAAATTGAATTTATTTATTTATCAAAACAAAGTTTACTTTTCATATAATGCTATTATTATTTTTTTGGTTTTTTTTTTAGAACAAATATTTGAGTATCTAACATACTAAATATGGACATCAAACATCATAATTAAAATAAACAAAACTGTGACATAAAAAATGGTGCTGAATTATTCAAAATAATTCTTCTAATTTCCATCTGATTATGTGTATCAATAGATACATGATATATTACCAGTATTCAGAAGTAAAAGTGATTGTTTTAATAATACTAAGATTTTCATGGGGATATATATATTTTTAAATAGAACGTGTTTTATGTAAGAACAAATTAGACTTTAATATTAGTACTTAATAAGTACCTATATTTAAAATAATATAAAAAGTCTGACAGCTATGATTAAAAAAAAATAACTTCAAAATGATAAATAAAGAATACCAAATACCTAACAATTGGAACATAGTTATTAGTTTTGGTCTTGAAACCCAGAAACAAAATTATAAAAAGTTTGTAAAAAATCAACATAACAAAAAAAAATGTTTGTGGTCACTTGTGGTAAAGTTGACAACTATTTAAATAACAAAAACACTTGCCATAGTATATTTAAGTCGTCCTTCCTTCATCTCCTTCACCCATAAATGAATTTTCAGATTTTAATTTTTCTAAAGTTTTAATTTGTTGCTGTAAAAATAACACCCTGAAAACCCAATTGAATAAGAAATATAAAGAACCAAGTTAAATGGAGGTTTTTTTATATAATGAAAACTCACTTGTGTTCTAGTAAGGATGCTTGCACTTCAGTCAAACGAACAATAGATCTTGCATATTTGAGTTCTGCTGATACCCGTGAACAGTGTACACTTCCTAATATATGGGCTTCTTCATTTAATTTTTGTGCCTTAAATGAAATACTCAGCTATTAATATACTGAATTTGTTTTTAAAATGAATTTACGTATTAATAATTTTACCTGTTTTGCTAAAATATCAGCTGGCCACGATTTAACGTGTGATGTTAAATCATCACGTAGAAAGTTTGACATGACAGGAGACGTTGTAGTTCCAAGCTGTCTGTAACTCATTACATTGTTGACTTGGACAACTTGTTCTGCATGGCTTGTTACAGGACTTCCTTTTATTTTAATTTCATTAAAAAACATGATTAACACATTAGTTTTTTATTTATGTTAAAAACTGTTTTAAGAACATTATAAATAACATTTTTAAAAATGATCTTATTATTGTCTGATAAAATTAGATTTCGGGAATAACATGTTTTTCAAAAAGAATTCGTTGGGCTATAATCACATTTTTGTGTGGTATTGTTCGAATGTTAAAAAAAATCCTTACTTCGATTAAGTATTAATTTATTTTACCAATCAGGGTGACAGACAAAATCAAAAGAACAAACAAGGATAATAAATAAAAGTAGTAAAAATAAAATAAATAAGTTACGATATGGTAAAAAGATAACAAATAGTTGGGTGTTTTATATTGTGAAGGCTTTAGAACTTTATTTGATCTAATGAATGAAGTTTCAAGCACCTGGAGTGGTCAACTGGTTGTTAGTATAGACGTGGAAAATGGTTGGGCCAGAACTATTTGGGATTTTCAGTGATAAGAAAAGCATATAATATTATAAGGTATAAGCTTGAAAAAAAATATTTTTAACAGACTATTATGGAATTTCTTTCAGGTTTAAAAATTCGAAGACTAGAAAATTAGTTCAATGGACTATTTAGAATATGTTTATTTCATTACTATTTAAGATGAAATGTGGGATGTATAGGCTATCAAATTAAATAATTACCTTTAACTTCTTGGGTATTATTAGTTTCTGTGCTTGCAGGAGTGGGTGGACTTCGTTCAGTAACATTATTGGTCGTCGATAAATCAACTAAATTCTGAGTTATATTTGATAATGGTGGTGTTGTTGATCCAACATCAACATTTGTTCTTTCACATGGTTCACTGTTAACTTCAGCTCCTTTTACCTGAATTGTAATAAATTCAGTTAGGATATTTAACTTTTGAATTAATTATAAAAAAAATACTTGTGATTGAGGAGTTGAAGAACTGTGCCTTTGTGCAGGTACATTTGATAGTTGAAAGGACTTTTCTGAAGTAGGAGTGCTGTCGCCACTACACAATTCCATATCTTGGGTTTGCGAAGAATCGCCTAATTAATATCATAATAATTAACGTATTATATATTTATACATTGAAGATCTTGAGTATAACTGTTTATTTATATAAGTTTTAATTTAACAGTTAAGAAAATACTGTTTAATGATTAGTCAGGTATTTAAACGTACTAATGTACATCTGAGCATAGGCGGTACTAGACCCTCTTGGCAGGGGGGCCAGAAAATAGTTAAAACTATATTTTATATATTTTACTTTATTAGTCCAAAAATAAGATTTGTATCTCTCTCAGTGCCAGCATACTACACTACTATACTAGGTAATCAGTAATCACTATAAAAATCTATATTTTTAGAGTTAGGAAATCGATAATTCAAGGAATTATATATTAGATAGAATAATAAGGTACAGTCCACAGGAGGGGCAGTTGCATACCCAGCCCCTCCCGTAGTACCGCCTATGCATATGAGTAAGAAAAGTTTTGCGTTGAATGTTCCTTTTGCTAATAACCTTACATGTTACAACAAAATAAGTTCTTAGAGATAAAGTATTTATAATTAAAGTTGAAAACTTTGTTTTTTGGTGTATTGACAGTATTGTGTAATGAAAAACTTAATTCAATTTAAAAAAAAAAAAAAAATAATACTAATAGAGTAATATTATTAATGTAATACAGTGCATTCACCTCCTTTTTTTTAATAATGAAATTAATTAAAATCTGTGTTTTCAATTTAGAATATATTTACAGACCATATATAAAAAAATCTTGAGAATTTTTGTACTACTTAAAGAATTTTTCAATCAAACTGAGTCGTATTGCAATACACTGTTTTTTTTTTTTAAACTAAGAACTCCTCTTTAATGTGAATTATTTGATGGATAATTTTTCCAAAAATGTTGATGTATCAGAATCAAAGTTTGAACAACTAGTTTTTGAGTTATTTAACTTTGCTAAAGAACTATGAATAATGCATAAACATATAAAACAACTAGATAGCGGACTGCATAAGCATTCCCGCAGGAACGTTGAAGTCATGCGGCCATATGTGAACAGGGAAAGGTTTACAAAATAACTCAATAAATAACATATCTAAACACATATATATATATGGAGGCTATGGGTATTTTAAAACTGTATTGATTAATTGGTTTATTAAGGACATGATAAGAAAATTATTCACTAAATAATTTATGGTAAAGAAGGGGGGGGAGGTCCCATTTGTAAAATTGTTATTGCCGCAGAATACTCCTTTAGTAGAATAGAAAATCTTAAGAAAGTGAAAATATGGTCTAGAAGTAAATAAAAATATTCCAGATTAAAATTAAAATTAATTCATTATTAAAGGAAAACACGAGGGTGAGTATCATGGTTGGTGAATTGTGATTTGTAATTTAATTAAAAATTAATACAATATTTATTGCAGTAAGTAACTACTAGTGACCAACTCAGTGATGAGCTATATTTAAACACCTACTATACAGCAGGTCAAGTATTCTTGTTTATTTATTTAAAAAAACAATAGCTATATCATACAAAAACAATACATTTGATAATATAATATAGAAACTATTCAATAAAGATAAATTTAAATAAATCTATGTAAAAACCAACTTTAAGCTAGTAATATACAGATTCATTTAGCATGCTCATCCTTTTCTTTCTTCAATAACGCAGATATCTAATATTTTTTTTTTTTAATTCTTAAATATAGTTTAAGAAAATATTTTACAATTCTTGATATTATCTATAGTATTTAAGGAGTGTTTTGTGGAGAAACAAATTGTTGTTTTTCAAATGACAACACAATTCTACTTAAATTATAGGTACAGTAGATTATTTATCCGAAATTTAGGATGTATAAAAATACAAATTTGTACAGCTAGGTTTTGAGTTTTCTAACTTTGTGTTCTAAGGATAAAAGGTCCATAGTAATAAGTTTATGAGATATGAGGGCCATAGTGATTTATGAAATTGTAGTCATTTATATTATCCAACCCATTCATAATTTGTAAAAACGGTTCAAGTACAATAAATACTATATCCAACTATACATCTATTTTATATTTATGCAAAACCAGTTTTAAGGACTATTATCCTTAATTCAAACCTTTTAAAAACTTAAGGAACTACTCATCCTTAATATTTTCAAACACATTATCTACCAACTAATTTACATTAAAGAAAGAGGTATTTGAAAAAACAAAAGTTCATATCAAAACAAGACACACCTTAAGTAGCACAAAAAAATTCCAAGAATTTGAAAACATGGTCTTTGAGTAGATTTAATAATTCTAAAAATTAGAATTTGAATTAATTCATTATTAAAGGAAAAAATGGGGGTGAGCATGCTTGGTGAATCACCCTGTTTAATAGGGTCGGAAAACAGAACATATTCCGTGTGTTCCTAAATTCATCAGATCGGTCAGCCACTGGAGGGGAGCTAATCAAGCCGATTGACTTATCAGCAATCTGCTATTCTAAAGGATGGACTGAAATGAAACTCGATGGATTTGATAACAATATGCAAAAGTTTAGGAACGCACGGATTCATAAGTCCCAAATGTTTGATGAGTTATGTTGTAAAATTAATAAGAATGCTTGAAAAATGAATGCACATAACACACATAGCGACATCATAAGTTTCAGGTTTTTGTGCTAAGTAAGTTTTAAGTTTAAATATAATATAAGATATAAAAAAGGTAGGTGTACCATTTAAGGAACATTGTTCAATCATATTGTTACTTCAATCTTGTCTATTTTATTTAGGTAAATAATATTAACATTACATAAGTATTTTGTTAAGAGGATGTCAGCACAATGATTGTTTTCACTCCCTGGCCCAGCACATGGACAAAATGCATTTATGCAAAATCATTTTTCTTATGTTTTTGATTAATATTAGAGTAAAATCACCCACTACAAATATAATAGGGAATAATATTTTTGAAGGAATGACGTATCAATTTGTCTAAATATTGTCTCCAAAGAATTTAAACATCATTTAAATTTACATTTTTTTAATTTTTTTATTTTGAAAGTCTAATACTAAGTCAAACAATAATAAAATACAAAACTAACATGTCATACCCCCAAAATGTGTACTCTATAATTTTGCAATATATGATTTTACTCTAAAGTTACTCAAAAATTATAAAAAACAATTTTAGGTGAAAGCGTGAGGCTATGTTATTTATGTTGCACATGAGTCTGAGAGAGAAAACAAATATATTATTTAATATAATATACATTTTTAACTTACAGGAATTGATTATTGTAGGTCCATCTTGTTCAAGTCTATCTACATTACACTCAGAAACATGAAGAGATTGCGAGACATTTATTGGAAGATTATTACTTCGCATTTGGTTCCAATAAGCATCTTTTTGATGGTGAGTTGGTCTACTTGTAGAGTTAACTTGTTGTTGAGAGGACTGTTGTGAAACTTTGTTCACATGATTGCTCATGGATGATGATCTCATCATAGAGTTATTGGAATGTTTGTCTGTACATAATATACATTAAAATTATAAATAAAACTAATATTAGTTATGTTATAAATATAATTACAAACCATGGTGGTATTGTGTTCGAGAAGGTTGAGATGCTGGATAAGCTTCTAACCATTCTCTTGGCTGATCCCATTGGGATACTTCGGTTTTACAATTATAATAGTATTTTTTGCCTGAAGAACTTGTATGTTCAGACCAATCACCAACCTTAGTGACGGTCGAACTTCCGCCAGACCTGGATTCGCGGTTATTACTACTACTGCTGCTACTCTACAAATAAATAAATATACAACTAAAACAAACTATGTACACAAGTGAATCTAAGAATGAGATTTGTTAAATTAATTTGAGAAATAACCCAGACAATTTTGAGAGCAAAAAAATGATGCCACGTTCAAGCCAATATTATTTACCTAAGAGATACATACACGCATGTTGTGTATATATGACTTTTTTCTTAAACGATATAAATCATTATAAACAATGGCATAAATTATCAACTAAAATAACGTATAAGATAAAACACTAGATAATGGTTGATAAATCATTCTAAGACAAACAACATGAAAAGAACAAATCGCAAAACCACAAGTACAATATTATTCTCCTGCATTTTGGTGGTATTCAATAAATAATTTTAGACAAATATGCGTGATTAATAACAAGATTTCACTTAGATATAAATGTTAATTATGAAATGTAAATAAATTCTAGGCAATTGAAATTCTACAGGAGTCTTGTAAAATACATTGGTAGGTAAACACCCAATTATTCATGCTATGTAAACAAATATTTATGAATTTACTTATCGCATAAACAATATATGTTACAGATATTATTATATAATACACATTATGAAAATAAAAATATTTACCTGACAAGAGCTATGAACAACTTTCCGCTGACCAGATTCTCTAGAATCTCTAGAATCCCTAGAATTTGACCATTTCACAGAATGAACAACCATTTTCTATAAAATTAAATAACAATGTTAAAATTAAAAATCCAATATAAAATTAAAATAATTAATTACTTCCGGACTAATCCGATCGTGGTTTGTTCTATATTCATCTCTACTTCGTCTATCTTTTGGTGACCTACTATAATCTGAAAATAAATTTTTAAGTTTCAAACTATAAATTCATATATACATAGGGACTTTACTATGCTTTCAACAAATATCAAAGCACATAAAGTATAAGAATTATTAGCATTTAGAACACTAAATCTTCTCTTTCCATCATAGAAAATGTATCACCATTTACTTTTTTCAATAAGCTTAGATATTTGATAAATATTTTAGTTATTTTTAAAGAAGTATATAAAGTGGATTACTTATTAGTTATTAGAAAGTATTTACTAAACTATGAAATATTTCCTTTCTAGGATACCTCAAATTGAACAATATAAGATGGCAAACACATAGAATAATTAAATAATAGCAAAGCGTAATTAAGTTCATACAAGATGTACAGGTATTTGATATAAATTTTAAACTAGAAAATGTTCAAACTTCTAATGGTTATATATTTTGAAATTTATCCAACAGATTCAATTTTAGTAGAAGTTTTAAAATGTGTTAATCCTACTTTGAATAATTAAAACAAAAAAAAATTTGTTCAAATTATTAAATGTTCCAAATAAATAACATGCACATAATATTTAGTTCAAAATAAGAAAATAGTTTATTTGCAACCGTTCTGAATTATTTTTTTAAGGTTTAAAGATTATGTTTTTCTACAGTGCCACAAAGTGTCAACCATCAGAGCTTCACCCAGCATATAAACTTTGATCCAGTTCAGATTAGAAGTTTACGTTAGTCGCTGCAGCAAATTTTTTAGCTGAAGTTCCTAATTAAGATGACCAAATAGTACAACTGGGTCATAACGGTTATGGGAATAATAACGGTATTTAGTATGTATTTTATTAACTAACTAAAACACTTACCTGAATATTTATCACTATTCCTAGATTTATAGTCTCGAGAATCTCTCTCCTTATCTCTGTGACTTTTTTGAGAATGATATGAACTTTTGCTAGAGTATGATCGATCTCGTGATGGACTTCCTCGGCTAGGACTTGGATACGAGGTACCGTTTCCCCTAACACTGCCATACTTTTGATCACTGCTAGAATTTTTTGAAACTAAATATTTAGAATTCTGAAAAATAAATTTTTAATTTTAATAAAATAATGTGTACCAACAAATTTCAGTTTATAATACTGGGTAGAAGTTTACATAGTACAATCACTAAACAAACTCATATTGCTGCTACACCAATATTAATCTAGACAGCATCTACACGGTTTTTTTTCTACAGTGAATGGCTATCTCTGCCACCAAGATACCACAGTACTACTACTCGATACTTGGCTAGCAGTGTAGATACTAGATATACTGAGTATAGGTACATCTTGGTTGTTAGAGTATAGCTTGACTGATTGATTAGAATATATCATTAATCACAATTACTATACTTTGAGTTTAGATTGGTAGATTATTTGATCCAATGTTTGCAAGGCAAAACATATTAAATATACCCACAACATAATAGATACAAACAAAAAAAATATTATATTATTTAGTTCTACAAACTATTTATCTTCAGATAACTTTTACTGTGGACTGATAATAGGTACATAAACTTATAAATATTAGAGGAATTTCATTGGATTATAGAGGTTTCCTAGCACTTGATTTTAATAATGTTACATTTCATCGGTTTTTAAATGGATAGCAAGTTTAAACAGACAAGTTAAATTTTATTTATATCACTAATTTTAAAATAAGACATGTATTCACTTGTACATATTATAAATTACTAATAACTTATAAGAAACTTAAAAAAAAATATTTTCATTTGTAATATCATACACAATTGTACTTAATTTGGGTTTTAATTTTGTGCTAAAAAGTAGTTATTGGGTAAAAACATGATATGATCATTTGATAAAGTTAAGACATAAAATATGATAAGGTACCTAATAATAATATTCAATATAATTTTTTTGTAAAAATGTTAAGTTATTGAATGAACAATATTTATAGATTTAAGGTGTTCACAATAAAGCATATACAACTAAAAAGTAAAACAATTAACATCACAATATTAAACATTTTAGTCATTATTGAAAAAATAACTTGATTTGCAAGTTGGATCAGAATTATTTTAACAATTAATTTTCTAAACATATACTAGGAACCTAATGTTTTTTGTAATTCTATCTCCATGTATTTGTTACCCAAAATATGTATCAACATTGTAAAGTTGTTGATACATAATATTACCTCCAGAACTTTTGATTCAATAAATCAGGCAAAATCACTGAATGTTATTAAATACAATGAAAATATTTGCAAAATAATTATGTTTTTTAATGATGATGAAGATAGATTTTTACTTTAATTAAAAAAATATTTCGTATGAACCAATATTTTGAAGGACATAGTTGTATACCTATCAATGCAATAAATTATCACAAGGCCCAATAATATTTACCTGATACTGATGGGACGGGTTCTTGTCATAATACCTAAAAACAAAATAGCTAAACATTAATATTATTATCGATATATTATAATTTGAAATTACGTTATTAGCGTAATTTGGTAAGTAGGCCTTACCCATCACTAATCCTTTGAAGTTTCCTCGCATGCATTACCATCAATGCCGATTATCTGTGGAAATTCACCGCCCGGCTATGGAATTATATCGTTAACGATAAATGTAGGCGGACGTGTCGGTGGTTCTAGGGCTGAATCAGACGTAAGAATATTTAATCGTAACCGGACGCCATCAAAGAGACCAATAGTAAAATGTAATAAAATGGAGTGAAAAGGAAAAAACATTTAGACGGGGTGAAGATGCTGTCAGGAGAGTGGAGGGGGCTTGTCATCCATCGGGAAGGTACGCACTGCCATTGGTCATTTCGAAAATCAGCTGGTGTGTATAAACAGTGCAAACAATGGATAGTAAAATAATTTAAAATTTAATTAAAACTAAATTAATTTTAGGTACCTGGTTAATGAAGGCACTACTTGAATATTTCGGATACTATTTTTTCCCAACAATTTCCAAAAGCAAAACTGAAATTTGACCAAAACAGTTTTTTGTTTATTTTTGTTCAGTTTGCAACCGTGTTGTATTCGTATAAATTTTGTTTATGCAAAATTCGTCCTTGAAATAAAAACACTAATTTGATTAAAAAAGTAAATAAATATTACCCAAATAGTAAATCTGCTGTCAATGAATTTTTTAAATTATCTGTATCATTAATTGCTTTAGTTATTTTGTGTATTGACCTACCACACTAAAGTAACGATCATTCTACCATAGTCTATTTTGATATACAAATACGAGTATCCTTTAATTATTTAAGCAATGGTAGATGTACCCGTTCAAGATATGAACAAAAATACATTTACTTGGCACAACAAGAATGGCTGCAAATCTGCGAAAACGTAATTTTTACTTTAGTATTACCTGTGTATAAATAAATTTCGGAGTATTTGACTATTAAATCGTTTTTTTAATTTTTTTTTCCAGATACAATTTATTTAATTATTTTACAAGCATTGAAGATTCGCATTCAAAATATCTTCATTATCAAATGACCAAACCTTTGTCTGTTCAAGTAAGAATAATGTTTAAATTACAAGTATTAACAAATTAAACTTGTAATTAATTAGGTAGTGGGTATGTTATTAAAAAAAAATGAAATATAATGTAACATGACTGCATTCAAATTTTATATTTTTAAAACCAGGTATTATTGTTTTGTTAATTATTTTTCATCATAATAAAACAAATATATCCATATAAATAATTATAATGAAGATCTTCACTAGCTATTTGATTCCTTTATCTGCAAAGTTTCAATTTTATAATAACTTTAATTTTTACAAGGTATATTTTCAATTGTTGAAACTCTTTTACTTACTCAGTAGCACAATAAAGTTTATTTTTATTCTATTAAGAGAGTACTTGGTACTTTAAGCATCAGCAAGCACATGAGATCTAGACTCCAATTGTACAGCACATTTTTCTTATCTAGAGACCAACAGAGGGATAAACCCACTGCTCCTTAAAATCTTAAATACAATATTTCATAATATACACTAGGTGCCTAAAATACTGATAATATTAAAGCTCAATTTAACAACATTATTTACAATACAATTATTTAAAACTAATTTTTACTTTAAAATATTTTAGACTCAACATGATTCTCCATGTAAAAGTGATTCTCCTCAACCATTTTATCATATTCATCAGGTAATTCTCTTATTTTATTTAAATTTTGCATGTACAAATGAACTAAAATATTTTGGCTATTGTTAATTAAAAAATTAAAATGTATCATATTCAAAATAAATATTCTGTAGGGTTATGTATACGAATAGGTTATAAATACAATATATTGTTGTGTTTGACTTCAATTGAGCATTTTGAGTAGAAACTATTATTACAATGAATAATTAATGTAATAAGTACATTATAAATTAATGTTGATGTATGTTTTATTGTAGGATTCAATTATTACACAGAAGTCAAGTCCAACACCAGTTAGATTTAGTCCTCGTATGGGTTCTAATGCAATCAATTATGCACGCTCAAGTGCTACAAATCGGGTTGCAATCACTCCCAACATGTCACCAATCAGCAGTTCTTATGTAGATCAATCAATAACAAAAATTAGCTCAATGTTTCCGACTGCATCAGAATCCCATATTAAATCATTATTAAATAAGTAAGATAATATTTTAATTGTATCTTATTTATTCTAATATAATGAAAATTGTTTTAGATATCATAACAGAGAAGCTGTTGTTATTAGTGCTTTGCAAGTAGAAAAACATCCAATTGCTACACCTGGACCATATACGCCACCATCAGTTAGTCGTCATTATATGTTACAAGCTAATCCTTCACCCATGGCTAGTCCATCACTTAAACCAGCTCATTATTCTCCAAAAATGAAACTCAGGTAATTTTATTACATATTTTTAAATTTAAATTGCTATAATATGTAAATTAATAGACCCTTATTAAAAAATCATATTGCAAGTGTTCAAATAATAATAAACATTAAATCAATCTTTATTAATTTAATTATTATTATTTATAATACAGGTCGGTCCAAATATTTTAACACTGATTGCTTAGATATTAAACTTCATCAAAATCCTTAGTACTAAATAGCTCATTTAAAATAATATTTACTTATCTATTTACCTCTGTTTATAAGTATTTAATATTGTTTGATTTAAAAATAAAATATTTGGTCAGACTAATCTAAATAATTTATATGAGTATGTAATCTACTATTATTTTATTATTTGACAGTAGATATTGAAAAATAGTAGAAATTGAAAACCACTCAAAGAGATTATCCCTTTAAATTGTCTTTTTTAAAGTGTGAAAACATTTTTCAACGAATAAATATTGTAGTTGATGACTTTAGATACAAGTATCATGTGTATAATTGTATATGTGAATGTGTTTGTGTGAGGCTTGAATTAACAATGTTTTGCCATGATTTTATTTTTTTCATTTACCTATTTTATTTTTATTTTTAGCATGAATTTTATTTTTGATGTTTCAGTATATGTAGTTAAATTGAATTGATAATTGTCTGATGTAATTAGACGATAGAAAATATTTTTTGTGGGCAAAATTTTACATTGATGGATTTATTTTATGGCATGAGTTGGTAAGTATTTTTTCTAAAAATTGTTCTTGTCAAATCGATTATCCAAATGATATATTGTTGTTTTTAATTTTAAGTGTTTGTTTTATATTTCATATAGATATTTGAAAAGTGTATTTCCAGTAGTAGAAGAAACAGTACTTTTGGATACATTATGCAGTGCTGATAATAATGTTAACCAAGCAACAAAAACATTACTAACTATGGGATTCAACAAACGACATAATATTACAAAAATTGTGCCGAAATTGCCCAGAGTTACATTAACCAACAGTGAAAATGATTACGAAGAGGACGATATGTTTTGGTTAAGAAGAAAAACATGTGATAATTATGATAAAACTAAATCTACTTGTTCATCTTGGCCTGTTTCTTCTGTTGTATCAACACCAACCAAAAAAATAAATTTGGACGAACAAATAAAAAGTAAAAATTATAAAATTAAAAAATGAATTATTATTTTTATTTTTATTATTTTTATTTTTATAGTAAAACAAAGATTACACGATAAATTTGATGATCAAGAAGAAAAAATTATAATTTTTGCCTTGGAAAGTACAGATTATAATGAATTATTAGCTGATCAAATTCTTAAAAATCATTTAGATAATGAATTTAAAACAAAGGATGAAAATGATGGGTAATATTATTCAAATAAAAAAAATAGATTAAAAAATAGTGTAATAAAATATACAACTTGAAGTCAATCTATTGTAATATTCACTTTTATATAAAATTTAAAATGCATCCTTAAAGAAGTTATTACTAATTTTACTTATTATAGTAAACTCAAAAAGGAGATTTCTAGTAACAAATCAATTGATGGCCGTGTTGTAACGAACATAAGCAATTCTAAAACTGAATCAAGAAATTCTACCTGGTAAGGAAATATTTGTATTGTATAGAAAAAATGAGAATAAAAACTAAAGGACTAAAAAAAATTGATAAGGTTTAAATTTTTATTCAGTTAGGGATTACATGACACATAGATATGTTAATTATTATACTATGTCACTATATTCTAGTTTCTAAATTCTAAGTCATGTTAGAAATGTATTGGTTTACCAAAGTTATGTACTTTATCATTTTTTAATACATTTTAAATATTTGTTTCAAGTCTTTATAACTATATATTTATTGTTTCCGTTGTATATATGTTAGTGCTTTTGATATGTAATTATGATTTTCATACTATTCTCTGTCCAGCAAGAGAACTTCATCAATTCTGTGCAATCCCTCGAAAACCTTATTATTGAGACTGGTCCCGCTATGGCAAAAAGTCGCTTGGGGATGTGCAAAATAACTGATTATTGTTGGGTCATGTAATTTTAGTGTCCTCCCGCTGGATAAAGCATAGTTTTGTCAGGTAGAAGGAAAAATGTTAAAAGTTACAGAATTTCAACTTTAAAGTTTTGTATTCTTTCAAAGAGTCCAAATAAAACTTAAATTGTCCCAGATATCTACTTAAATAATAAATAATAATGACCTATTAAAGTTGGGATGCTGAGTGGTTTCCTTTTAATGGCTAACGATAGTCGCATATATTCTTATTTGTTTATCTTTCATAATTGATATTATTTTACTTACTGGCATTTCTTTTGTATAAAATATAAATAAGTATAATAAGCAGTGTTATTACTTTTTTTATGTGTATAGTTCTATAACTTATACTTATATTTATATTATGTTTTCCTTTTTTGTATAATATGTCAACTATCAAATATGGTTTTTATTGGATTTAGTGAAATACATTTTGAGAGCCAGAAAATAGCAGCAAATGGTACACAAAAAAGTTTGGCAAAAGGTCCTAACAAAGATTTATTGAGGTAAATCCTATTTGTTACTAAACCATAAATATTCTTTACTTAGTAATTAATTTTCTTTACAGCAAAAAGTGCTCATCTAAATGTGAGCTAGATGAAAAAAATAGAGTGAAACCCAAAGGCCCAAATAAATCATTGTTGAGTAAAATTCATTCATTAGCAAAAGGACCAAACGCTGAGCTCAAAAAAGGACCATCTAAAGGATTAGCTAAGGGGAGTATTTTCCATAGACTATTTAGGAAATAATTAATCTTGTTGTTTATTATTTTTAATTCAGTACATTTTTTCTATATATTAGATTCTTTGAATGTATATAGGGAATTTAAAGTTAAATATTTTTTTTACATTATTTAATATTATTTTATTACTATAAGTGGCAAATTTGTAGATCAATTATAATTGATTTGTTTCATAGGTAATAGGTATCATATACATTTTTTTTTATTTTCTTGGATAGGAACTTTTTTCAGTTAAAATCTTTCTGATAATTTGTGTTACCTTTTTTTTTTGTAGATGATATTTAATAAAATATAAGTTTAAATCAATAATAATGTAATTAATAATTAATATTGAAAAATAAAAATTATTATGATAGTGTTTAAATCTAATCTTGGAATATGGCATTGATTTAATTATATTTAGCTCACAAACTAATCTTATGAAAATTAATTACTCGTTCACTGCTCGACATTTCTATGTATTTGGATGGTATAGTTGACTGAAATAGAATAAATTAAATTTTAAACCTGTGAATGTCAACGTTTTTAAATGATATTTCTATATAAATTATGCATATATGCATATTATTAAAATATTAAGTCTAAGTATTATCGTAAATTGTTAAATTTTGTTGAAATCTATCAACTTAGCCCGTTAACCATGTACAGACTTGTTGCTAATACCAACACAGCGACACAGACTTATTATAATATCACAATTTTATGTCACAATATTTTAATCCAGTATGTGTTTTTAATTATATGTATAATACAATATTACACAAAATCTTGTAAATTTAAAAATTATAGTGTGCATACAATTTGAATACTTTTAATTTGTGATACAAAAACACAAAATTCTGCGATTCATTATTTTTCATCAGAGAGAGATAACTTAACTTGGTTTTTAATAAACCAATGAAGTTTACGATTCTACAATTTTTACACAGCGCTCTATATTATCATACTTTTAATATTTTCATTATGGTACACTAAGATATAACTTTTTTTTTCAATTTATTTCTGATAGAGTTAAGGTTGGATCCAAAACTTGCCGGTTACAGTATGAAAAGTAGTGACTAGTAGGCAGTAGCTCCCTAAGCCTACTCACTCTGGCTGCTTATATGAAACTAAGTTCCCTATTCTTAATTCTATTATTTAGTATTGAAAAAATAGTTAAAAAGAAATTTAAAAAATATTTTTTGACTATATTAAATAATAATCCAATTTTGTCTAGTTACAACATAACTATAGGCACAAAGGTGTAACAAAAAGGTTTGACAAATGAAATAACTTTTTAATAATAAATAATTTATGGATGCTTGCGCAAAAAAGTGCAGAATATTTATTTATTAATACTGTAAATAAAAAAAAATTTATTGTGGTTTAAGTTACACTCTGTATAGTGTATATAGTTGCTGTTACTATAAGGACATTATTTTTTTGTATGAATGAAAAACTTTTAAAGAGCCTTCTAGATTCCATATTTCCCCCTGATTTCTATCAATTGTCAACGATATGGCAGATATGAAGACAAGTTAAATTTACCGACTGATTTAAAAAAAAAATGTTAGAATTCAGATTGCTCAAATTAAATGTTGTTACAATTATGTCTATTAAAAAATTTGTAGATCACTAGATTTTCACATTAGCCTGAGCCAATCTATTCCTGTGCCTCTTGGACATAGAGTCATAACCATACTGCCTTAGTTTTTACACAAGTCTGATGGCCACAGCAACACAATATTAATTTGTTTTGGCTTTTTTTTTATATCTATATAGTATAATATATATATATATGTATATTATACAAAAGCAAACCATAGAAATGTGAATGTTGTAACAGTTTTTTATAATACTCTCTGTGAAAAGTTTTTTTTTTTTTAAATAAAAAAATGAATATCAATCAATAATTTTTTATTGATTATTAACTAATAAATCAAAATGTTTAACTGTAAGCCTAGGAAATTCTCTTTCACCGTGTTTATCAATTCGTTTTTTTAATTTATCCACTTCGTGGCATTGCAAATAATTCAAAGTATCTATAAAAAAATTTTAAATTAATATATTACATCAGTGTTTGTGACATAACCTTTACATTAAATTAAGTAATAATTTACCTTGAATGTTTCCTTTAATCTTTGATGGTACTTTCCTATCAATCCAAGAATGAAAAAACGTACAAATAACTTTACTATTTGCACCTGGATACAATTTATTTGTTATTTCTATCCAATCCAAATCTGACCAATGCTTGGCATTAATTTGTTTTAATCTGAAAAATTATAATATTTTATTTATTACAACTTTAAATTTGTATTGATAGATCTAAAAAACTTACAATTTCAATGTAGTTAAGTTGAATGTTGACATTAAAATAGGTTTTTCACAAAATAACATTGTATATAAATAGTTCCATTGATATCTAACTTTTTTATACGTAAAATCGTCACCAAGGTTTTTTGCAATTGTAATCCATATATCTTTTGTTATTGTCAGACTTTTCAAATGTTTCCAGTGTTCTGTATTTGTTTCTAATAGAATATTTGTAAATAGTTCTTGTCGCTTTTGATCATCCCAAATAACTTCTAATCAAATAGGTAAAAAAATATTTTTGATTATTTTATTGAGAAAAAATATTTTTCATTTACAAATTACCTTAAGCTTTAGGTACTTTTTAGAATTAATTTGTTTTAACTCACTTTTAAATTCTTTATGTTGATTCCTTAAAACTTCAATTCTTCTATAAAGCTGTAATCTAGTTCTGTTTAAAATTAAACTTAATACTGAAAATTTGTTTCTGATCGCATCACATTTGTCTACTTTTATAATTAATTGGTCTTCTTCTTCACTAAAACTATGAAACAGGAAAAGCAGTAAAAATTATTAATAAATAATTGTTTGAGCTTTTCTTCAGGTATAGAAGATACTGAATAACATTAATTTCAATCAAATACCATTAATATGTATTTATGAAAATTTAAAGGAATTTAATTTATATTTATTTCATATTATGAGTGCGGAGATGCTACAAAGAGTAGAATAACATTTTCTTTTAAACCTCAAAGAGATTGTTAATATGTAGTTTGATGAGATACTCTTTTAAGTACCTATAAGAATAATTTTAATTTCAGTAAAACTTGATTTGAAAATGCTTACAAGATAAGATGTAGACATTGACTCTAACCCAGTCTAAACAAATATTATCTTTCTAATATTTTTTTAAAAATACATAGAAATATAAGACTAATCATTATACTAATATCAATTATATGAGAGATAAGAGTACATACCTTGTTTTGTCTTGGTATTCATTAAACAGAATATTGAATCTATTAAAAACAGAATACAACAATCGGTTAGGGAGTCCAGCTGATATATAACGAATAAATTGTAATCTTTCATTAGGGCTCAAAGCCATTTCCACACCATTAGACAAGAATGGTAGAATATTTGAAATATTGTATTCCTGAAAATGTAATATTTTTATCATATGCAATATAATTATGTAATATGTATAAATAATACAAATAGTTTAGTTGTTAAACAAAAATACTATGGTTAACATATTCAATAAGGCTAAATCTAAAAGAAAAAAAAATTGTTTTAAACATTTAGTCTGATCTTTTTAAAAACCTTAGGGTGTATTAGTTCTACAGCGATAACATATATTTTTCATTTTATGATTATTTATCCCGATTAAGATGAAGGTACTTCATCTGCACTAACTACTGAAATTTATTGAATAATTTCAAGTTTATAACGCCAGTGCCTACATATTATATATATTCATTAACAAAAACAAATTTAGTTTTTCTGGCTGGGAGTCATAAAGTATTTTTTAATAGAATATCAATATTCTCATCTTCTTTCCCATGTTATTAGAACCAAAGTTTATTTTTGCCTTTCAATATAATTCAATGTATATAAATTGTTTATCATAAGCTACTAGTAAAACTATGACAACTTGACATTTACAAATTCAATATTGAAATTGAAATTCTATATATTAAATACTGATATTAAAATCCTTTATACTTGGGCTAGTGACTCAACTTTTTTACTCCCCACTATACCAGCCTGAATGCTGGCTGCCATCACCGTTGCCATGAGTAGATGGGGAAAATTTTACCATGAGACCGCATCTCGATCATTCGGATTCACAAAAGAGTAGCGTTGGCCCGAAAATAGTATTTTAATATTCTTATTGGTCTTAACAATAACTCAGCATCAAAGACCATGAGTTAATTCTCTAGAGTTGCTGGGGCTATAATATTCAATATTCATACCAAACTGTACTCATATTTTATTGAAGGCATTAACTTATAATTATTCTACAATTTAAAAATACATCATATGCTCATGGGAGCAATGAAATGGGTCCATGCATCCTATCTAGTTTTATTAAAAAATACAATTTTTTTTAAAGATACCTTTTGAAATTTTGACCAATATTCCCGAATCATTCTATCTTCATCTTCATTAAATACTCTTAGTTTTATCAGAGGATTGTGCTTCTTTATAATATCCATTTTGAGTTTATTTGGTAATCTACTTAAAGTAGTCTCCATAAAATGAATTTTATTTTCCTGACATTCAGCTGGTAATTCAATTACTAAATCTTTTATATCCTAGGTGAAATAAATACAAATTAAATAAAGTATATACCAGGGGTGGCAAGCCGTTTACAGGCCAAGCACCAAAATTTAAAACCAAAATTTTTAAAATATAATTGAGTGCCCACTGCCACCAAAAAGATCATTTGTTAACTTTTATTTTATGAAATACAGACAAAATATCATGAAATTTGGCTAATGTGCCACTTCTAGCATGCATGCCATAGGTTTGCCACTCCTGGTATATACTTTACTCTGTTCCACAAGAGAATGAGTCATTTTGGTACATCATAGACCAGTTTTGGTCAGCAAGTAGCCCATTTTCTCGTGCAATAGAGTATACATTATATAAATTATTATAAATTTTTTTTAGATATCAAAAGTATTATACCTGTGCAGAATCAATTTTTTCAACAATTTTTTTCAAAATAATGTTTCCAACTGTTTTCAGTAATAAAATATCTGATGCTCCTACTTCACATTTTGTATTTATGGTTAGCTTGATCTTTTTAGACAAATACTCATTTATTTGTTTAAAATTAGGATGATTTTTTAGTGAAGGATCTTTATTTGTTAGGTACTTTATTAAATTAAACTGCTTTAAATTAAAGTTGGTTTTATCAATAGTAGATGATTCTTCAACATTATATTTTTCTATAGAATTTAGCAGAGTCTTTAGTTCACACTGGTTTTGGGAAATCGTTGGAAAGGTTAGGTTAGGTTGGGAAAGCATTTTATTTTCATCAGTACAGTCTGAAATCACAGTTTTTAAAATATTGTGCTTTTTCCTCTTTTTAGATTCCTTAGTTGCAATATTTTCAGTATCTAAGCCATAACTAATTTCCAGTGGAGCAGATGATAATTCATTAGTATCAGAATCATTCATACTTGGTTCAGTTGGTTCACTATCTTCTTTGTAGATTTTTTCAAATGTTTTGAATTCAGTATTGTGGTTGATATTTATATTTAAATTTGTATTATGATTTTCAGCTAGAATATTTTCAGTATCATTGTTACAATTATTTCCCAGTGAAATATCTGCTAAAGCATTCATTTCAGACATTTTTTTTTGAACTTTATCTTCCTTGGAATCAAAACAATTAATATTTAGCTCATTTTTTTTTTCATATGGTCTGAAATATGTATCATTATTGGTATTGAATTTTATTGAGCTTAAACTTTTATTATGCTTTTTCTTCTTGTTACGTTTCTTAATTGCAACATTATCAATATCTATACTACATTTATTTTCCAAAAGAATATCTGTTGAGGTGTTTAATTTAGATTTTATTCTTTGGTTTACATTTTCTCTGTAGTCAGAACCATTTACTTCTTCATGCGTTTCTTGAAGCATTTGGATTTCTTTATCATGATTTGGATCTAATGCTATTGAGTTTAAACTTTTATCATGATTTTTCTTCTTTTTAGGTTTTTTAGTTGGTAAATCATTTATTTTTTGTTCATTATTTTTTTCATATGTATAGCAATCGGCATCATTAATAGTATCTAATTCTATCATATTTATACTTTTATTATGATTTTTCTTCTTTTTCTTCTTTTTAGTTGGAATATTCTCACTACCATTGATACAATCATTTCCCATATCTGCTAAAGCATTCACTTCAAAAATTATTTTTGGGATTATATTATTTTCCTTAGAATCAGAACCATTAATATTTAGTTCATTATTTTTTTCATTTTTGAAATATGCATCAATATTGGTATTTAATTCTATTGAGTTTAAACTTTTATCATCCTTTTTCTCTTTTTTGGATTTTTTAGTAACAGCATTATTCTTATCCATGCTACATTTATTTTTCAATGAAATATTTGATGACACGTTTAGTTCAGACTTTATTATTTGGACAACATTGCTATTATTAGAATCATTAACAAACGGTCTTTCAAATGCTTGGATTTCTTTACTATGATTCGTGTTCAATTTTATTGAATTTAAACTTCCATTGTGATTTTTCTCCTTTTTTGTTTTTTTGGTTGGAACATACTCATTATCAATGCTACAATTATCACTCAATGAAATATCTACTAAACCATTCATTTCAGACTTTCTTTTTCGGTTTACATTTTTCCTAGAATAAGAATCAATAATATTTTGTCCATTGACTTCTTTACAAGTTCCTTCTAATGATTTGTTGATTTCTGCATCATTAATTAAATTTGATTCTATTAAATTTAAGCTTTTAATATATTTCTTCTTACTGCTTAATTTTTTAACATTTTCTCTAGAATCTGAATCATTAATATTTTGTTCACCAACTTCAACACTAGTTCTCTCAAATGATGTGAATTCTGCTTCATTGATATCTGAGTTCATATCTAAACTTTTATTGTGCTTTTTATTCTTTTTAGGTTTCTTAGTTGCTAAAGTATTTAATTCAGACATCTTTTTTTCCGTAGAATCAGAATCATTTATATTATGATCATTATCTTTTTCATGCGTTCTATAATGTACACCGTTATTGGGATTTATTTGTATTGAGTTTAAACTTTTATTATGATTTTTTTTCTTTTTAGGTTTCATTATTACAAGATCATTATCCATGTTACATTTATTTACCGAAGAAACATCTGCTAAAGCATTAATTTCAGGGTTTCTTTCTTGGCTAATATTTTGTTCTGAAACAAGCAATTGATACAAACAAATTATTTATAAAAATGTATTTAAAAAAAAGTTGTATAAAAATATTATTATGACTATTACTATATCAATTCATTGCTTTCTTGTGATTTAGAAAACCAGCAATGATTGAATCCTTTAATAGATGAATACCATACATATATTTCTAACATTTTTCTTGTTATCTCCTCTCAAAAAAAGGGAAGCTCCTTTGATACTATTTGTACATTTTTGTTTTGTAATTGGTATACAGTAAATACTCAACGTGTGCTCTGACTCTGAATGGTATCTAGTTTGTGAGTCTATTAATGTAGTTCTTAAAGTTAGCAGTTAGCACAACAAATTGTAGATCATAAAAACTAGGGTACTTGGATTACTCAATTTAACATAACTCTTTATTCCACTTTCTACTTATGTTGTATGAAAATATTTTTATTTCATAACCTAAAATTGTAACAAATTATGATTTTTGAAAAAAATATAGGTAGGTATAGGAAGGTATTTTACTTTTTATTATCGATTTTTAAGCTTTATAGCTTTATGAATGACAAATAGGGAGCAAAAATAGAAATTGTTTTTCAAAAATGTTTGATGCAAACAACTGAAATTATGTAAAAGAAATATTTTCAAAAATATGCCTATATACTACATTAAGTGTATGCAACTGAGTTAAAAATTGTTAGCATTCTATTAAACAAATATTTATGATTTATCACTCACCTATAAAAAATGTATGAAGTAATGTACAACTTGTATGATTTTAAATTTAATTGCGGTAGTTTATCAAACATATTATACACATATATTTCATATTAAGTTACAACATACTCTGCAGACTACAGAATAAACGGACACCCGACATACGCTGTGTACTAATAAAAGGTAACCATTTACATTCAAATTTTAGATTTTTAGCACAATCTTAGACGTTGAAACTTCAATCTTCATTTAAAAGATAAGGAAACATAAAGTATGAACACGACTATAAAGGTAAATGGTAATAACTAATAACCACGATTTAAGATAGTACTATCACAGAATCTATCCTAAAATCGTGCAAATAACCTATAACGCCGCAAGGTTTATAGATAATAGTCTATTATCTATAAACCTTGATAACGCCGGACACTCGAAAAACTTCACGCGTGAATCTCACCATGACAAATTAAAGATATACCAATACCATAGTCATATGATAAGGAGGTGAGTTCTTCATGGTGCTGGAAATTACAGCAAGCGCTCCCTGTGAGAGAAAAGTTAATTACCGTGTCGCAGCCGAATTTTAAATTTTCTATTTGAAATTCGTTTTACTAATTTAATTTTACGATTTTATATTATTTTCCAAAACATTTTATTGAAGTCTGCTTTCAATCTGTACAAGTATAACAGTAATATTATATTATATTGGAAGTTATATAGATTTTATTATTTTATTATAATAATCAAGCTATAATACAACCAATATATTTATTTATGAACTAATTTTTTCTAAGTCTGAAATATTCTGTGGCTTATAATTGAAAGAAAAACCAATGTTACCAATATTTATTTCATGACCATAAATATGAATAAAAATATTTGAGTCTTATGTAAATAATAAAATTAAGTTTAATTAAGGCTATTTTTTTAATTAAAATATTTGAGAATATTTTTTAATATTTAAACACAGGATAAATGAAATAATATAATATTTTATTGCTATTGCTATACTTATACCTTCAGTTAAAACCATAGAACAATAAAACCATTTGCTTTTTTATAGTTCTTAACAAGTTATCTCTGATAGAACTTAGTTGATGAAATCCAATAACAATTTTGTTATTTATTCTAGATGAATAGTCAATATTGGAATACTATTTTTCTGACAACTCAATTCATTTTAATTTGTTTAAACAGTTCATAAATAGTTCTGAGTATTCAACTGAATTATTATTGTGTTTTGTGAATAATATATTTTCTTTGCTTATAGATTTTGTATAATAGCAGGGATCTTGTTGTATATTAAATTTCAACTCAGAAATCTAAATATAAAACCAATCAATATTTTATACTAAAATTCTATCATAACAAATTAATAACAGTTCTATGATAACAACAATTGAACAATATTTAAGTTTAAAAAAAATCATTAGTCAATAAAAAACAAGGAAAAGAAGTGTACTACAAATAAAGTAGATATAAAACAAAACAAATGTACAGAATAATTTGTTACATTATAATCAATTTAAGAATGCAGAATTTTCGAAAATCTTTAATATATTAATAATAATGTGTATTTAAATGACCCTTTTATTATGATAGGATTAAAAATGGTATATGTTGGGAATTGGCGTTGTTAATTGCTGGTGACCCCCAGTAATAATATTCCATAATAATATTCATGTAGTATATTTTACTTTGACATATTTTCTATTATAAACTGTGACAGATGCCTCTGCACAATGTGGTTGCTTGACTTAGTTTTTAAGCAAGTAACAATACATCAGGAAGGAACTGCAGAATTCCCATCATATTTCTTTATTATAGATTGAAAAATAAGAGGATACTATACTTCTATATTTCCCAGCCTTAAAATATAGATCCAATCATAAAGAAAAAAAATTTTTGCTAGGTGCCATGAATCACCAACTAAAATTACTAACATTTGTGACCCAAAACTGAATGCCTAAATAACATAGTGTACAATAATATAATAATCCAGTTTCTATGAGCAACTGGGATTCACTTTCAACCTGAATTGAGTACAATCAGTCAGTAATAATTAATAAATTCTGCAAGACTAATAAGCCCACTTCCCCCAATTCCATCTACACAGCTGCACAAACCAAACAAGCATCACACTAACTAACCTTGATACATTATGTATCATTTAATATTTTAATTACAAAATATTAACAATTTAAACATGTGCAGTAGGTAAACAACTTAAAATCACATAAAATACTGCCCGTATATCGCTTCTTAAAATAATTAGGTAATTCTTAGTAAAAATATTGAAAAATAAAATTTCAAAGGAGAAGAATCTTAAAGAATAAAATGATTAATAAATATTTTAATAATATTGAATACATTAAGTATAATTTTCACTTAAATATATATTACTTTAATGTCCAACAACTTTGTATTATTACCTAACAAGTTACTTATTGATAATTAACATAAAAAATAAATTATTATTGGACAAATATTTATTTATTAGTAAATTAAATAATCTATTTGTTTAGGTTCATGGATATATGAATACATGTTAATACATTATTAGTATTATTACTTATGAAAATATTTTGAAATTATTAAAAATTTAATGAATTAGGCACACTAAATAGTTTAGTAGCATAATTTTTCATCAGTTGATTTGAAATGATTGATAACATAAATCATTTTTTAATTTGTTGGGCTTGAAACTGTTGTTGTATTTTAGTAAGTGACTCCCTATATTCGTCTTGTGTTCCCTCTAATGTGTGAATCCGGTCATCAATTCTTTGTAGTTCATTTTTAATATAACTCATACGTTTGTCAATATTTTCCTTGGCTTCTGTGTGGTCTTGACGTAGTAATATAGGGCCAACCATTTTATATACTTCACCTGAAGGTTTTAAAAGAGCTAACTCTTCTTTGACAATTGAGTTTTCATTTAGTTGACCATCCAATTGTTGACGCATTCCTGTTAATTGATGAATTTCTTTTTGACATTGTTTAAAAGCATCCAGTTCTGTTTGGAACTTTTTCGATAATTCTTCGGCTGCCATTTTGTAAATCTGAAAATTGAAAACCCTTTAAACACAATTGTAAAAGTTGATAGTAGTTAGGTTACGAATTATGGTTAAAACATCCACGTATTCTTTAGTCTTTACCTCTTAACTTACTACTAAAGTACTAATATTTAGTAATTACTAAGTTGCACGTTTTCAAATAAATTATTATTATTTATTACTATTTAGTATTTATCAATAATTATCAAATATCAAACATTTTACATTACATTGGTGTTTAGATAAACTTTTAACTTTACTAATTTAATCCCCAGATGGCAGGACGGTCTCTAGACAATTGGTGCCTGTTGGTGATAAAAATATTTTGATAGATGAAGAGTAGCCAACCAAAATCTAATTAAATTTCTAATTTTGAAATTTGTAATGTACAAAATAAATTATAATCTAAACTCTAAAGGTTTACTGTTTAATTATTTAAAAATTATACTTAGAAGACAGTATTAATAACTACACACTTCGTTGAACGTATTCAATATTCACTATGTATAAAATATTACACATGAATACACAGAAGTAATCTAAGGCCGTGCAAACACTTGTGAAATAAGCATACCAATTAAGACCACATGTCTATTGTAAAGCCTACAGGCTATAGGTATTAATTTACTTCTTGTTCAGCGTGAATAGTAATCGTTCAGTCGTTCTTGCTTTCTTATTTATTGTACTATTGTATTAACTATTAATATAAATAATACGAATAATACCACAGAGGCAAAGAACAATTTTGGTAGGTAGGTAATACACAATTTTATGATAGCCAATATCCATTTCCAATAAATAAACTCTCGTGAATTAAAATAATTGTTATATTGTCGAAATCCTCAAAAATAGGAGCCTATATATTATGCATACAAGGCTCTCTATTTCGAGATACTTCATTTTATTCTGTTGACTGAACTGCGGTATCACAGAATTTGAGAAATAATGACAGTACAACAATTAGATCTAATATATGGTAACAAATATCGGCAATCGAAAAAAAAATCCCCAGACCACAAAGTCACAACCACATGTCTACATCCTGTTCAAATGATTGAACAATTATTTTTAATAACATTTTGCAATATATTATTATGATATTATATTGTACCTATCTATGATTCTGTAAAAATTAAATTCATTACGTTTCTTTTAATATTTCGACGTTAATGTAAACATCATTATTAGGTTAGGTTATTACATATTATTATTCTATAAATATTTGGAATACGGAATAATCGATACTTTGAAAAATGCAAATGCAAATAATAATAATCAAATCATTTTTAAATTATAGTTAGTGAATGTAGTTACTAACAGTTAATTATTGAACTGTTTCTTAATATTGTTGCTATGAAAAAATCGGGAAAATGTATAGGAAGCGTAATATTTTATTTCGTAGATTTAATTTTAATTTTTTAATAATATCGTAGTACAAAAATATTATTGATAATGTTTAAAAATTATTTATTATACATTTTTTATGATAAGTATGCGTATACCTATACCATAAGTATATAAGTATACATTTGTAATTAAATATTAATAAAGTGTTAATTACATTAATAATAAGAATTTAAAAAATATTAATTGTTCAATCATTTTCATGCGGTTATAAGCAGAAGTCAGGTGATTTTTTTCCTATGGTCGGGGATTTTATTTCAGAGGTTGTTCATGGGGTTTTATTTTCCGGGGATTTTTATTCCGCAATTCCAAATTATCATTACCTACCTGTCTATGAGTGGTACCACCAGTCTGAGGTTGTTATCACAGGTTATTATCTATTATATTATCTATTATCCATGTCACAGACTAATAATTAATAAATATTAATAATGATATCCAAATTAGATTTGAAATAAGATTTATAGAAGCTTCTAAAACCACCTCAAAATAAATAATACTTCGAATTTCGCAAATTCTAAGTTCTATCTATAGGTACTCTAAAGTATCCGATCGTAATATTACTTTAGTATTATTTTATATAGTTCGTGTCATAAAATAATAGTAGAATATGTTGGAATAAGATTATTACTATTGTTATTCTTATTAAGTTTTTTGCTAATGGTACCTTATTTATTGCTGAGCATAAATTGAATTGTTATTAATTATAAAATTTAAATACCTATAGTTGTGCTATAAATTATAATCAAAAATCAGACCTGAAGTTTTGGTTGATACAATTTTCAGTACTCAAATAATATTTATTTATTGAATTTTAATATTAATGGTTTATTAAATTCAATTAGTTTTATTTTTACTTGTTTGTTAGTATCGAAAAAATCTTTTGAAGCTTATAAAATGAGTAATATTTATATTCAAGAACCTCCTACTTCTGGAAAAGTAAGTAAAGTGTTATTGTTTTGATTACTCCATTTACTTTTTTAAATATTATACTGTTGACTAAGGTGTAGCTTAATTGTATCTTACTTTTAAGTTATTAAATATAATGTATGTCTCCTATGAGTCTTAATGATTGAGTACATTTCTTTAAATTTGTTTGCTTATAATATATCCAAGTATCTAACTCTTTTAGGTTGATGTATTATGATGGAGTTAGAGAACATCTAATTTCTAATATTAAAACAAAATTATAAATAATAGCTGGAAATCACCCGTGTGCATTTTTTTTTGTGGCAAAACTTATGCAGGGTTATATCTTAAGCGTGCTCAACACCCCTTTTTCCCTTTTATAGTGCATTTATTCAATTCTAATTTTTAGTTTTCAAGTACACCTAAGGACCATATTTTCAAATGTCTGATATTTTTTTTACTGCTTAAGAAGTATCCTGTAGTTACACGAACTTCTACTTTTCAAATGAGAACCCCCCTTTTTTTACCACAGTTTGAAAATGCAGTTCTAAATCCAAATATCAGGACATTTTTAGTTTTTGAGATGTAGCTATGAATGCATGATTATATTCTTATTGTTTCAATGGATGTTCAATAGAATCTAAATATTTTAATTATATAAATAAAGTGTTAAAATATATTAAATATTTTTATTATACATTTTAAATTATTCATAAATACTTTATTTAAAAATAATATAATATTTTAATAATTTTCTAATATTGCTTAAAGGTTGTGCTTAAAACTTCATTTGGTGATATTGAAATTGAATTATGGTCAAGGGAAGCTCCAAAAGCTTGTAGAAATTTTGTTCAGCTGTGTACTGATGGATATTATGATGGAGTCTTGTTTCATCGTATTGTCAAGGGTTTTATTGCTCAGGGTGGAGATCCAACTGGAACTGGAGCAGGCGGCGAATCAATTTATGGTCATCCATTTAAAGTAATAATTTTATTTTATTTAATGTATATTCTCTATTTCATAAATTTTAAGAAAAAAGTATTTTTAGGATGAAATACATTCACGTCTTAGGTTCAATCGACGTGGTTTGGTGGCTATGGCAAATGCTGGAAAAGATGATAATGGATCTCAATTCTTTTTCACATTAGGATCCACTCCAGAACTTCAAACAAAACACACAATATTTGGAAAAGTTGCTGGTGATACTATCTTTAATTTAACCAAATTGAATGAAACTCTTGTAGATACGGTATTAAAAATGTACTTATTACATTGTAATAACATTCATTGATCTTATTCATTTTATTTATAGGAAGATAAACCAGTTTATGATCAAAAAATACTAAAAACTATAGTATTAAATAGTCCTTTCCCTGATATCGTACCCAGAATTGAAAAAAAGAGTGAGAAAACTGAAAAACTTTCAAAAAAAAAAGAAGTTGTTGGTGTCAAGTAAGTTATATGGTCTTTCCAAAATCTCCTAAATATTATATCATCATTATTATTTTTATTGTTATATTATATGACATGTATTTTTAGAAATTTTAAACTTTTATCATTTGGTGAAGAAGCTGAAGAGGATGAAGAAGAGCTTATTGATGTTGTAAAAGAGTTTAGTGGTAGACCAAAATCAACTCACGATGTTCTTCAAGATCCTCAGTTAAGTTCAGAACCTGCTATTATAGATAATGAACTTACAGATGATATAACCATACCTTCTAGTGATCAGACATCAAAGTAAAAATATTTTATTTTCATTTTCAAACCTTTATTTATATTACTAAACATACTTATTTTTATTTAGAATAAGTATTGATGATGTTAGATCGAAATTGTCTTCTAATAGTAAAAATAAAAAAAGTGCACCTAAATCAGTTGAACAAACAAATGAAGAAGATTCTGATGATTATGAACTTGGCAAAGATCTAAAAGAAGAGAAAAAAAGAAAAGCGTAATTATAAATTAAGTATTCTATACAGCACAATTAAAGATATAGTAATAGGTGGTAATAAAATAGTGATAATCTCAAAATAATGTAATGAGAGCTAATAGTTTATTATTATGAACAGTATATCGAAGACTACATTCAGGAGCAGACTGTGACCCATTCGACCCACTGTTATTGAAAAAAACCGGCTCTATACTATAACAGCCTACATGTTTAGACTTAGGTGCTTTATTTTTGAATTTTAGTTACTCACCAATCACCATAGTAAATTAATAAACAGGTGATATGTGTTTTTAAAATTAAAATTTATTTGAGGCAATATTAAATGTTTGTTATTTATATTGTACTTTAAATCATAAATCATAGATGTTATCTAGAACAGTAGTTCTTAATCTTTTTAATACCGGGACCTAAATTTCCCCCAAAAAATCTTTCGCGACCCACATTGTTTCACTTTTCAACAATTTGTCGAAAACAAAATTTGTATTAAATAAATATGGATACATTTTTATTAGGTATTTAGTTTTTTATAGGTTTATAATTAATATGAATAAAAATGTAATTAATATAATTAAAATGCACTTTTTATAATGAGGTATCTAACATAAAATTCTTGGAATCTATATAATTCAAAAAAATGTTCCCGACCTACCAGTGGGTCGCGACCCACACTTTAAGAAACGCTGATCTAGAGTATAATACCCTAAAATATGTACTTTGACCGCAGTAATATCCTTAAGAATGACCAAAATAAGTCTTAACAATTCTTGAGTAGCGATATAAACGCAATTACAATGTAACACCGACTAACCAATTAGTTGTTACTGTTTAGTTTATAAAATCATACAATGTACAATCAACATATAATGAATGGTCGCAGCAACATTTTTGAAATTTCTATTTAAATTTAATCTAAAATATAAAAATGTACCTAAATCATGTATAAATGTACTTTAAGAATTAACTTGGGGCCCACACCTCAAAACTAAAAGAAAGACTCTCAACACCAGACTTCATCTACTACGACCTATCCTCAAGTCCAAACTCTCTATTGACAACAAATTACTATTATACAAATCAATGCTAAAACCTATCTAGGCATATGGCATACAAATTTGGGGATGTGCCAAGCCTTCCCAAATACGGACCATACAAGCCTTCCAGTCTATTTCCCTTCGCCTAATAAAATCCGCGCCATGGTACGTCTCAAACCTCTCACTTCACAAGGATCTTAAAATTGAAACAGTCTCCAAAACAGCCAAAAACGACTACAAAAAGTTACACACCAAAACAGCTAACCACACAAGTCCATTGATTTCCAACTTGGCCAGTGAATTCATGCCAAATAACCCCCCCACGTCGATTAAAAAGACACTGGTGTCGTGATCTCCTAAATCCCGAACTGCACTAACTAATTGAAAAATAAAATAAAATAAAACTCTCTCCCCCAAGTTAGTGGGTATCCACACTGGTGGACCTCCCTCCTCACGCCATTCATGTTATACCTACCTTTTCTTTGTTATCATATTTACTTATTGTATGTATATAAATTACAGATTGTAAATATTCTATTTTATCTAATAAAAAAAAAAAAAAAAAAGAATTAACAAAAATTACTTGAAAATTGTAATAATTTGTGTTCAAAAAACACCAAAACTGATAAATATGTAAAATAAAAGTTAAATAGTTTTAAATTCTTTGATGTACGAGTATGAAAGAGATTTTGCACTCAAAAAGCATTGCCGGATTTCCCAAAAAATAATTCATTTTGCATTAAAGTTCGGACCCTATATAGTCATAACTATTATGGCTTATAAGCATTTAAGGTTGAGTTGAGCGGAGTGGATTATGTTGGTCTACTGCAAAGGTATCATAAATAGAAGAGTTCCTAAAAAAATTGTCAACAATAATAATATTATACCAGGAGGATTATTTTGTACCAGCCCGGGGTACATTTTTGTGCAATTGCACAGTGACCCAGTCCACCCCTGACCACATTTTAGGTTCTTATCGAGCTTTACCTAACCAGTATATCTTAAATTGTGCTTTACAGTGATAGCTTTGATATTTTATTCTATAATCAATGGTGATTTTACTTTTTTATCTGTAAAGCTTATTTCAAAGTATTTAATTATGACTAATGATGTTTAATATGGAAATATTATATATTGTATTACTTGTATTTTTTTTAATATGTTTTTTAAATTTGATTATTTTATTACTAGAGAGGAAATCCGAAAAGAAATAAATGAAATAAAATCACAGCTATCAAAAAAAAAAAAAAATAAAAAAAAGCCTAGCCTAGATATAGATGATATACCGAGCATACCCGCATTGCCTATTGATCCACTTAAACAACAATATTTGGAAAATATAAAAATGTATTCTTCCAAAAAAAGTGAAATTCCTAAAAAAGGTATCATTTACTGCATAAAACTTTCATATTATAAGTTATAATTATTATTATTTTAAAAATCTCCTATTTAATGATTATCAATTTAGGTTCAAATAGAGAAGAATTTGCTCTTGGTCTTTTAGAACAGTTTAAAAATAAACTACATAATGCAATACAGTCAAGTCAAGAAAAACCTGAAAAACCAACTGAAACAGTAGAAGAAGAAGATGATGATTGGTATAATTTCAAATTGAATAAATATTATATGATAAAAATTATTTTTTTTTTTATTAAACTATTAGCTTATTTGTATGTTACAATTAATGTTTATTATATTATTCAAAATACAGGAAAAGTCATCCCCTTCAATTTCAGAAGGAAGATGCTGTACTAGCAAAAGATGCAAATAAAAAAGATGATGATTGGTTTGAAATATATGATCCTAGAAGTGCTATCAATAAAAGAAAGCGTGAATTGAATAAATTAAATTCAAAAACTGACAAAGATAAAAAAACAAAAGTTTAAAACATAAAAATGTTATTCAATGTATTTTGCTTTTCTTAGGCTTATAATAAATTTAATTGTAAAGTTTTAATATATTATAAAAATTGACCTTTGCCTAACCTAACCTCACAGTGTCTCAATGTCACGTTTCTGGCAGTGTGGCGTGTAAGTCGTCCATAGGTAATAAATAAATAAATTTATACTCGTTGGTATTGTGCTTAATTTTCGGGATAATAGTGTCAGAGGAATAATAGAGAGGAGTGGAAGAACTTAGTATTACCAACAAAGCGCCTAAATGGTCTGTAATACTTAGAAAAAAAATAGTGGCAGTATTATAAGGACATTTGATTTTTCTGGTGTTATAGATACATTATCTAACATCAAAAAAACACTCTTCGTTGGTTTTATCTGTATACCTTAACTGATCAACCGACCCACTAAAGACCTTGAGTAGAGAGATTCATACAATAGTCCGAATTACCTATACTTTGTTATTTTTTGGTTCTTTGTAACGGTAGTTCTAAATGCTATTAATTCAATATTCTCCTTGTAATATGGCGTTTTTTATTTGACAATAGGCAAGCCATTTTTATTTTCTTGATGTTTCAGCGTCATTGACACATATATAAATGTATTTTCCGGGTCCTCTATCGGAAACCTTGATTGTAAAATTAGGCCCTCGGCCCTCAAGATGTTTTCCTAAAATGTAACCCAATGGAGCTTTGTAAACATTGTAAATCGTAAATGGCAGCTCTATCTAACTAGGAAATTGAGCAACTATGATGGCCTGTTCTTTGCGTACGTCTTAGAGTTCAAAATTATTTGGCGGCAGTAGATAGTACTGCTGTTAAAGACTTAATTTAAATCTAAATTACATAAATGCCAAACAAGATGTAGAGAATATATACATATATATCACCAAATCTTACCTATCTTCTCTACATCGTGATGCCAAATAATAATACCACCCAATGCAGTTAGCAGCGTTAGGTTAGATTAAACCTAACCAAACCAACTAATCAGCGTCTCGGGTAGTTGCCTCGCGGCTCGTGACTATTAAATAATTATTATGTTCTAAGTGAAATAATCCATCCACCTATCAATTATTTTATATTCTAGATTTTACCTATGATTTACAATTTAAGGTACGATGTAAATAACAAACAATTACTAAATATTGCCTATTACCTCAAATAAATTCAAATTTTAAAAAGCGGGTAAGTGGATGTCGCTCTGCTGTACACTAGGTGTCTAAGAGGACGCTGTAGCCTGTAATGGATGGTATTAAATTTGAATTCAATGATATCAAATCATTGTATACGAAAATCGATTTTGAGCTGAGACGGTATGTCAGTTTAGGATATTTTATATCGTTATTAATAATATGGTAGCCAGTAATAGTTGAATTAAAATTGTTCTAAAATTATCAGTGATGCTGTCAAAATATTAAATATACCTAAGTAAAATTGGGCTGTTTTGGAACCGAATTACAACAAAATGATATACGTTATTCTTTATGCTATTATAAGCAATCTTATCCAAATTTGATCTTAAAATGTCTAAAAAAATAACAGTATTCAATATTCATACATTTTTTAGATTTTTTTTTCAATTACGAAAAAAACTGTTTAAGTGGAACCTTGTTTTAAATTTTCAATCCTTGGATATAGAAATTAAAAATCTTATACATTTTTAACTACAGAATCATTTTCAATTTGATAAATATTGTCAAAATTTGAACTTTGAATGCTTGTAAAAAAAATCGTGCCTATATATTTTCAATATTTTTTAACTGCTATTGTAACAAGTTATCAAGAGTCTTGTATTCAATTTTCATGCTTTTTGACTCAACCAATAAAATTTTATTGACATTTATAGAAAAAAAATGAAAATTGAAATTTCTGTCAGCAGCTTAAAACTAATCAAAATATTTTGAAAATATCAAGTATATGAATCAATGAAACAAGCATTTGGTGTAAATTTCAAGTGTTTACAGTAATTCGTTTTTGAGTTATAACAAAACAAGAAAATCACTACAAGAGAAATCGAGTGAATGCCTAAATTGTATTTTAGTTTTATTTTTTTTCGCGGAACCCTATAATAGGTCCATATGGGTTTCAGTAGAGATTTATGTACTTGTAGTTTAGTTTTTTGGGTTGAGAACTTATATTTTGAGAGTAATACTTTTAAAGATCGGGAACGGCCGGAACGGGCTACGGACATTTATTATTAATCTTTTTTTCTTATATGATTTTGCGAAGTTCGTCTTTTGTCGAGGTTTAGACCTCAGTATTTAACAGTACCAAGAATAGGGATAGGTATCTACCTATTAACAGATATGTTAGGCCAAATCCCGTGTCTTAGGGTGAACGTCGTATGAACGGATTTATTATTATTTATTTTTATTTTTTTTATTGATCTTGAGCCCGGCAACTGTGGCCATTAGCTATAAGTGGGTATTGTAGGTTTTTATTGATGGTTTGTAGGTTTTTGGTACGGTAGGGGGGAACACGTGTGTGTTTGTTTTGGCAGAATTTCGAATGGGGCACCCGTAGGTTTCTACCATGCCCCGGTGGGTGGGGGATGGCAGCACTTGTTCTCCGGTCACCGCGACTTGTCCGGAGAAAAATGCCGCCCGGTGGCCGAGGATCGAACCGCGACCGGCTGCGTCGCAGCGGAAGCGTCAGACCACTCGGTCACCTCGTCCCCCGGATTTATTATTGTTTAGTTTGATTCTCCATTTAGTGTACTGTGTACTATTCAGAGAGTAGGTTTAGATGAGATTGTAATTTTTTTGAAGTAATCACTGCAATCACTGGGTCATTTACCATTGTGTACAGATAAAATGGCTTTATCCTCGGAATAATCAGCGACAATAGTATTTTTTGAAGAGGGTTGATGAGCAGCATAAATATTAAATAATATAGGAGAAATAAAAAATATAAGATTTAAATTTAAATGTTGGGGACTTCGAGATTAAAAAAAATGTCGTATGGTCACATTTCAAACTGTTCATAAAATCACATCAGATTTTATGAAATACCTTTAATATGTTCATAACAATTATAGTCTGTGTTATCATCTAATATTATTCATAATACCTTCTTAAAGTTAAGGACATGATTTTTCGCCCACCGTCGTTACGAAACTATCAAGTTAGATGACGATCCGATCTCTGCATGTTATAAGTATATGTGCTCCGTATAGTTCGCCATCCTGACGATTTTCGTGGCTTGGGGCAGAGTAAAATTAAGGGGGCCTAAAATGCCACTATCATCAAGTGCCCTTTCATGGAGAAAGGGCCCAAATATAGTATACCTTCAACCTTGTACCTACAGGCTATAAGGTTACAACAATATGAATAAATAAATAAATTTATAACACAACACATCATTTACTTAAACATAAAATAAGTATAGTTGTATTGATAAAATAAGTCGATAAATATAGTAAAACAATGTTATAAAAATGTATTATAAATTAACCTTCCTTTTTAAATCAGCAATAATGTGTCAATAATACCATTATATTTTAGTTGGTCGGCAATTTTTTTCTATAGATATACCCATTGGGTATGGCTAAGTTGGTGTTTTTTTCTTGGGACAGAGAGATTTGAAGATAGTTTTTTTTTCTAAATCATATTATTAAGGCGATGAAAATTAAGGATCTTTTCTTCTGTAATATGACAAGAAAGATGAAGGAGTACCTTCCCCACTTCAGATTTTTTTTTAAAAATTGATTTTATATAATATATATTCAGCAATAACATAACATCCATTACCCGTACACCAAAAAACAGTCACACCAAACGGTAGATACTACCGTACTACGTTTTTCCGGTATGTACTGGTATTACGGTTTATCGAAAAGACCGTCAACTCTATGAAAGATGAGAAGATTTTTAAGTCGGTTCAAAGCCAGAATTGCACAGACAATTTGACGGAGGCGCGAATCCGAGTCGATTGCAGGAAAGCCAGGAAATTGTTATCAAGTTGGACAAGGGTTCGCACTTTGCAGATAGAGCATCGTGCAGGATGCCACAATAAATAATACACGACGACTACGCTTTAAGCAATTTAAATTTTCCCATCTTTTACAGCGGTAGCAACTTGCATTTTCGGCGTTTAGCAGTACCTACATCGTAAAAAGTAAAATTATGAATAATAATATTTATATGTATACACTGTATACGTCCGTATTGCTATTATTTGTAGTTTGCACCTTGTATACATGTTTAAATTATAATTACATGTAGGTAATGTTAGGTACACTTAAAATATAATCCAATAAATACACAGATATGGTTTTAATATCTACACTTATTGCGTTGTTTAAACAAACAGAAAACAGCTATAAAATACAATAAGATTAACGAGTACCTAGTTTATGATGAACGCCAAGGCGGCTATTTACGACTTAGTTCAATTTAAGAATCGTTAACCATGGCTCGTTGGTCGGATAGTCAATTTACGGTTTGTTCCGAAGATTCTTTCATTAGTGAGTACCACCTACCTACCTAAATAAAAATTTATTTTGAAACTAATAAAAACATAGCCACGGTAAGTACTATACTAATATAAGTATATGCGCTGGCCGCTATAAAATTCCCCATGAACGTAATTATACGCTTTAAGTATAGGTAGCCGGTTAAGTATTTTACGCGATTGATTTTAGTTGAAAAATATCAATATTTATTGCAAGTACCTACCTATAAGAAATAAAGAACCCAAATATAATGAATATTTATTATTACCTATATATGGTTATGCAATATTAAAATCTATGAAAAACTTAACTATGGACCTCAAATTTTTTTTTAGTTTTAACCTACCTTTATGTGTACCTACGTAACCCAAGTGGGCAGTTTAAAGAAGTCATGAATAATATACAAATAGGTTGATATCCATTCATTGATTAGGATTTAGGAAAAATAATAAATGGAAAATACAACGCCCTACGAAAATACGTAGGTATAGTAAGTAATATATACTAAACATATTATATACTGTAAATTGTAGTAGTACTTACAATTATTTGCGTGCGTATGAGATGATATTTGTAGATCTTGAATAAAATAATTTGTTTTATTTTCAATATATATTGGATGAACAATGAGCTATAAAGAGTATATTGTACTATATTTTTATTAATGTGGGTGGACACTATAGGTTTGATTGAGATTCTTGAAGCGTTGTATTGTTACTTAAACAAATGTTTTTATTTAAATTATTTGATAGGTATATATCGTATATAGGGAAGGTAGTCGTTAGTCGCTACATTTAGTAAAATATTTCTTAAAGTTTTTCAGTACATTATTTATAATTTATAACAACCAATGCATTTTAAAACAACAATTGTACCTATGGAATTTATATTGTATGAATGACTTGTAAGTTATAACCTAAACAATTTTAAGTTTATAAATAAAAAACTGATATTATAGTTATAAACTTATATAAGTTTCTTAACTCTCATATATATATCTACCCAGTACCTACTATTATATAACTCCATTTACCATTTCTATTTTTGAAGTATCAGAAGAAAATCTAAAAAAAGTAATTAAAAAATGCTTTGGCAATTTTTTAAGTTTTTCAATTATAGTAAAAACAACTAAAATAATAATATATTAATACCTGAAAAAAATGTGTTATACAATTTAATGGGTATACATAAAATGGTTGTCTTATAGTTCATAAAATAAATGATTATTGATTGAAATAAATATATTTAAGGTTTAGTATGACAACAATTAAATGTAGGTAGGCACTGCTGTTTTAAAAAAATATTTATTTATAAATATTATTAAAGTAATATGAATGTCATCATAAAATAGAAGTTTATATAATTACTAGTTATGCACAATGTACAATGTATAAGTACATTGTAGGCTCTAGTCTGTAGGTACGCATAACTTTTCATTAACCTATACGGCTATACCTATAGGATATTTTTTCTATTTTGACAATAAATAAATAAATCAGATTTACACTTTTGTTCATTTAACTTGTTGTTACAAGTTGCAACAACATCGTAAATCGTGATAGCCACGATAGGTAGGGTCCTATATGGGCAGTGGACTTTGGACAAGAGTTACCAGATAATACGCACCTCGTATACTAGTTGAGTGTTGACAATAGAGGACAGTTGAATCAATTATATTCTTTCTTGCTTTCTTGAAAAAAAAAAAAATTATAATAATTCTATATAATACTATTTTGAAATTTCCATTTAATATTATTGTTTTGAGATTTACGAGACTATGGGGCTAAGCGCACTACCGGATTATAATATAAACAGATATACCATATTATACATGATATAACTTTATAGGACATGTAAAATTAATGTGATGGCTATTAATGTATAATTGAAATATATAATATAGGTACCTCCCATAATATACGCTTATGTAGTTATGTATTAATAAATAATAATAAGTATAGGTAGATAGAAAGGTAAACTAAAGTTTAAATGAAGAAAAACAGAAATAAAATGAAAAATTTAAGAGTACCTATTTTTTTTTTTTTTTTATGACAAAGTTTTTGCAGTTTTCACCACGTCTGAACGTTATTGTTTCTAGGCAGCTTAAATCTATTACATTATTACAATTATTTAATACAAACATTTTACTAATGTTAACTAATTAATCAAGTTAAAAATAAATATTTTTTCATATTAAATTATTACATTTAAATATTAGCAGTGTAAGTAGATTAAAATAATCTGTTATTGGAATAGTTACCTTGATATAGACGTATGGACGTATGGACGTTTAGTTGATAGTATTTTTCATATAATTATATACTATAGTCTATAATATAAACAAAAAAAAAACATAGAACATTGCATCAATAATCGCATTATTTTTTTATCAAAAAAAAATAAAAATAAAAATGAAATTTAAAATAAATTTATATTATTTTATAGATTTTTATCTAATTTATGTCGAACAGTCCGAGTATGCAAAAATAAAAACTAAATGCTTAATCATTTCTTTTTAAATATAAGAAATATTAAATAGGTATCGACTATAGGTAGGTTAATATAGTTTTTTGTAACTGACCTTACGTCGAATTACATAAAATAATCTCAAATTTTTACCAAAGCCAACAGAAAAATATAAAATATAATATATATTTTAAGAGGAACTATAAATTAACTAATAAAAACATTAGATACACACAATAACTATACAGTATATGACCCATACGCCTATAATTTGTACAATTAATAACCTAATAAATTACCTATTTAGGTTCAATATAACAGATTTTATATTTTGAGCAGGGCAAAAAAATCAAAGAGTGATGGGGTAGAGTCCTCTGTCCTCGAATATGATGACGGATTTTTCCCCGATTAGTGATCCACGATGTTCAAAAATTATTCGCATTTATTGTATGTGTTTGGCGGAAGGGTAGGAGAACCGGACACTTCATAAATGTCTTAAATATTAGAAAAGAAGAGGACGTTAATCCGCGCGCCACGGCCCCCATAGGTATGTTGATTCTGTATTACAACGAACAACAAATTACATTTTACTTTCAGAATAATTCATTTACATATATTTTTATTATATTATTATGTACTATTGATAGGCAATCAAAGATTTGTCGTTGTTATTATTTTAATATTGACAGAATTTTATCATGGCTTTACTTAATGGTTTATTTAGACGCACCCGACATCCTTTCAGGTATCTCCTTCAGAGTACCTTCTTATAACATCCTCAATCAAGGGTAATTCTGCATACATACACACTCAATTTTATATGGCTATAACAAACTTATCCACTACATGCTCCGATCACTCCAATAGCACCAACTCAGCTTTCCATTGGAATGATCAACTTTTTTTGGAAGGGGGGGGGGGTATGAATTTGACTATTCTCAGACCGCGTTACATATACATTCATTGTTTTCCCAAATATTTTATATTGCAAAAATAAGCCAACATGGAATATGACACCTTCATCAGTCCCCTTGAAAACACGTCCCTGCACCTTTTATAATATCTAAATTTTTTGTATATTAAGCATCTAACTCTGGTTTATTGTTAATATTATATTGTAATACCTCTCGGCGTAAATTTTGTAAATACATTTATAAAAACAAATAAATGAATATTAGAGAAAATTGATGCATTGCCAAATTTAAAGGTATGTCTAATATTCATTATGTAAATTTTCAATTTTCATACATTCGTGAGCCCCAGATAATATAAACCTATTTAGGTACTAAATGTATCTAGTATCTACTAAAAGTTGTACGTTTGAACTTAGTAGTTGTTTTACTGATGGCTGAGCTTTAGCTAATAAAATACCTTAGTATAAGCCGCTCTATGATTAAATTATTATACCATTTTCTATGTTTATACTGAATTTGACGAGTGGCGAAAGGAAACTCGAAGTATCCAGCTTGGGCTGTCCGCTGATATTTATCCCCACTATCCCACTATACTCGTCTCCATAGATTGAATTATGATGCATTCATGTCTGCTGCTGTAAATAATTTAATATTGTATTATATGTAACTAAAAATACAGGTATTTCAAATATATATGTTATTAATTAAGATGTTGTATTGCTGTCCTCTGACACGGTAGCTATATGACTACGAACCATTCCGGTTCTGGATTAAAATGTACACAAAATATTTAAATTCTGTAAAAATAAATGGCTAAACATGTAATAGTAAAATTAAACAGAATTACAATTTTAAATGTGGATAACAAATAATGTAAGTAAAGATTTTTAAGATTTTAATTAGGTATAGGTATAATAGAATAAAAATTAATTTAACACTATACAAATATTTCAAGTAATAAATTAAAAAATTATACATTTTTTAAGTATATAAATAATATAAAAAAAATGATAAATGATTGCAATTTAAACTGATACAACTAACTACATAAAACACTTGTATATTTATCTGAAAATGTCTATTTAGTATGGACATAAATCTAATATCGTCAAATGGTTTATTAATACTAGCTATATATAATACAATTGAAAGTTTTTATAGAGGATTGGAGAGGAGTGAAAAATTCTTATCTATAAATAGATTAGGTACCTACCCTTCATTACTCCTCCCAATGCAGGATTTTAATGTTTTTTTTTTTATATACTGTCACCAATATCATAAAATAATTGATTTATGCATGTATAAAAAACGCCTGATAAATATTCTACTTGAACTTATAGATAGCCAATTTATATAGTAATTATAAGTGGAGACTATAATATCGAACTTCACATATACCCCGCTCATATATTACATAAAATAACTAAAAAAATTATTATACTACGGATCAAAATGTTTTTCCAAAAAAACGGAATTACATTACTTATTGTACAAAATAAATAATTGTAATTTGTAACTCTTCAAAATAAAGGCAAATATTAAAAAAAAATTTAAACTTAATAAAACAATTTAAAAAAAAAACCATAAAGTCTCTGTGCTGTATAGTAATGCCTTAAATCATTCAGTTTAAATGTATCGTATTGAGTAGATCGCACTATATAATGTATGCCATATGTTTTCAATTTGATTTCATTATTTAATAAAAAATCATTTCTTAAGAAAAATGATTCTGAAAAAGCTTTCTATATCTAAGAATATTTTATGATTATTAATATTAATATTGATAATTTAATTTGATTTTCTATTAGTAACTATGCGGTCGATTAAACTAATTTTTGGCAAAAATATGGTATTATATTATATGATCATAATATGACATAATATACATTTTTGTTATCAACTAATTTCGTAGAAATGTATAAGAAATGTATAGAATCATGGTGTGGATAGTTTAAAATTAATCTAAATATTTAGAAAATTTAAATTTTGTATGGTATATATTATATAATATAAGTATTAAGTATCGACGAAAAGTTTTAAGTCTCTACGAATAATATTTTTTTAATTACAATTTATGAAAAAATAACTAAAAACGATATTTTTTTACTAGGTATCGCTTTTTAAGATTCCATTTCGTAAAATATTGAATTTTAAATGGCGATAAAAAAAATTTGTTTAAACCTACGTAATACGTATTTTTTAGATTAATAGGTTGTTAAAATGGGGGCGTGAGTGCTTGATATGATGGCGAATCATCCCGTATATCATGTACTCGTAAATATTAAAGTTCAAGATTAATTATTTTTTTCTTTAAGGAAAAAAGAGTCTGCAGAGTCCCCGAACATTTGTTACTAAATAATAATGAAGTACATATTTAGTTTGGTCAATATCACGTGCAGGAATGAGATAAGAAGGTATTTTATGGTAAATCTTTAATTCTCTAGCATCTATATTCTATACAGATATGTTTACCGCAGTATTATATGATTATGTTTATTATACAATTATTTAAAAATCCTCAATAGTAATAATAACCTCATAATATATCTATAACGGCCAATGGGTAAGTACTCAAAAATACGAGTATTATAAACTACAGATATCATTGTATTCATAAATTATCAAATGTACTTCTAATTTAACATTACTCATATTCATAGTATTTTTTTAGTAGTACGGGTTACAATACACGAATGAATAAATTAACAACGTTCACCAACAGAGTGCGTATCTATTTTATTATAAAACGCAATAGATTTAATAAAATTCGGAAGTGCGATTGTTGAATAACAGTACGACTAGGTACATTAGTATTCCCGCTGTTTTCAGTACGTAAAGATTACGATTATAATGTTACAACATTTTGAAGTTTAAAAATTATTGTTAAGTTTTTAAAGTGTGTACTTTATGAAATAAGTGCTATAAATTACTTTGAGTGGCATTAGAATTAATAGGCATCAATAGTGTTGTTCTAAGAAAAATATTTATTACACATTTACACAGGAGTGATTTTCATAATGATTTTATGCAAAAAAAGAAAAGGTAAACACATTTGTACATTTTAAATTTAACTATAGGTAGATACTATATTGTATAACATATTAAAGTGCATGATTTTTTTTTAAATAAAACAACAACTTTTTTTATTAATTTTTGCGTACTTTTGTGTGTATTATATGTATATAAGTAAGCCATTTGCTAATTCATTACACGTCGAAAATAAACGATAGAATAAGTTTGTAACACCTTATTTAATTTTTTTACACTAAAAATTAAATTGAGTATACCCTAACACGTTTTATAACTTAAGATTTGTACAATAAAAAGGATTACCAATAAATGATACACCAATGAACAATATTGAAATACCAATAGATAACTAGGATTAAGATTTTGTGAAAATGGACGCCGTATATTTTGAAACTTATATATATTTATTTTATTCCTATGTTCCTATGTTCCTATACACGGACATTATCATATTCCATAAGCATAAAGCTCATACAAAACAATTACAATTTTTAATTAAATGTATTGAAATAAATATACAAGTTATAAGACAATACTTACGGCATTTATAGTAATTAGTTACCAACTAACAGAACCATGTATATTAAATACATAAACTATGGTTTAAGTAGGTATACTCGAGTATCTTATTTAGGTTGTACATTTTTTTATGTTTTAAAAACACATGCATGCATTTAAAATGTAATAAATAAAACTATATGTCTATATAGCACTATGGCAGTATATGTTTTGGTTTTATGAATATAAAATTAAACTCACATTTATTATTATATACATGTATCAAATAAATAACGAAATGACATATTTTTGTTATTATATTAAATGTTGATAGGTAGCTTTTTAATTTTTTTTTTTTATTAATTATTTTAAGTCACATTGCTTAATTTAGAGATTAAAAAAAGTTAAATTAAAGTTAAATAAGTCTAATGGGCTTTTGAAAAGATGTATATCATATATTATTGTTCTCAGTTATCTAATAATTTCAATTTAAAAATTATCGAATAAAATAGTAAATTGTATTATTATAAATTATTTCAGTAACTAAAATACATGAATAATAATAACTTCTACCAGTTACATCGTCATAACGCAACATGAATAGGTCTCAAGTATTAGGTATTCAGTTTCAACTTGTAATTACGATTTAAAATAATAGCTTGTAATAAAATATAAATAGGTAATATAGCCATATGGGTTCCGATCTAGAACTAATTTTTTCAAAACATTTTCTATTACTTATAGATTTCTTTCGAGTTTCAAACCTTGCGATAAATTACTAGTTATTAGTTATTAGTCATTACTCATTAACTATTTGTATTTTATATTTAATTTGAATACTGTCATATATTTTTATATATTTTAAATAATATACGATATTACTATATAGTATGTATACATATGTATAATATATATGCTATGCCGCTATGGGCATACACAACAAATAAGTGTTTTTTGTTGTTTTTCTTGACTGAATTCATAATTTTTTATTTGGTGTGCTAAGCTGCATACATATTTTTTGTTTTGTTCTAAACGTATATTTGGACTAAAGCCAATATGATCAGTATAATTCAGTGCTCAATTTCTAGAATTCATAATATTTGTTCTTAAATGAATATAAATGTTACTTAAGCATCTGGTATTTTTCCTAACCATTTTTGTTTGAATAATGCTCATTGCAAGAAACTTTTAACTATAATTTACTAAACATGTAATATTAAGTCATAATATAATATAGTATGCTCCTTCTAATATGTAAAGGTATATAAAGAATATAACATTTAGTAAATTATGTTATACCTAATATTATAATTAAAATATATTAGGTGCCTACTTAATAACTTGTTATTAGTATTAATTCTTTAATATTATTAATAAATACAATTTTAAAAATATAGGTACTGCATAAAGTGTGCTTATTATAAATATACTAAAAAAACCAGAATTAAAAATAATAATTAAAAATTGTGGTATAATTTGATTAAAAAACAGTTGATTACCTATATAACATTTAAAGATTAAAATAAATGCAAGTAGAAAAATAAACTAAATATTTTAATCTATATTATGTTTATAATCAAATTTAATCACATATTTCTTGTAACTATTATATAGGTATTATATAGGTAACTATATAATGTTATGTAATTTTATTGAATTAATATACATTATAATTATATCTATTAGGTAATTATAAATATTTTATAATAATTAGTGTAGAAGATATAAATATTTGTAATTATTTGTATTGGAAGTATTGTAATCATTTTTCGGAACAGTAAAAAATTATTATAATTTCTATAGTTGACTATATGAGCAATTATTTTACATTGTAATATAGTAATTATTATGAATTTACATTCCATCATTTCGTTTTCGCGATTGTCAGAATAATAAATCGAAGTAATTACAGCATAAAGATTATGTTAATTAAGAGTACTTATCGGATAAACTGTGATAACTAAAAAGTAGTAAACATATCATAAGCGCTGAAATGCATATAAAATGTTTTTACACATAACTGTGATCTAGCTTAAATCGACCTCGAGAGAGAGACAGTAAGACACACATCATTTCTTTATCAGAATAAAACAGTATGTTATTATGTGAATAGAAACAAAAACATTCTGTGGGAATTATTGTTGAAACGTTAGCGGTTATATTACTGCTAGGTAAATTAACGACAATTATGACTGCGATGTTTTAATATCTCAATAGGTAACAATTATTATTCTAATTTTTTGTTAGTAATTATTAAAAAAATTAATATTCAAAGTATTTATTTATCACACAAAATGTTCTAATATGTATATT